GTTGCTGGAATGATTCCGTCTTTTCGAATGAATCGGTTCAATGAATGATTCAATTAATCACCCGTAGACCTTTCCTGAATTCGGAACCGCATTCAACCAAACTACTCTTACTATTTCTGCCATAGAGAGATATGGTTAAAAAAAAAAGTAAGAATAGTATGCGATTCCGAATTCATTATTACGTCATTTGTGTCTATTTCTGAATGAATCAGCTTTATGAACAAATCGGCTGAATGAATGATTCCAAAAACGTATTCATAAAAACAGACACCTGCTGCCACCTAAAGGCGTGTCGATACTATTTACATGCAGAAAGAGTTATACACTTTTTGTATTTATCTTAATATTATAGCATTGTTAAGTATTGTTTGACAAGTAGCATATTGTCAAAGTAAAATGACATAACATTACAAATTAAAGCAGTAAGAATTGCCTCCATAACTCAATTCATTCCACCAGATCAGTTTTTGTCAAATGTATTGTGTAATACAATTTTTATTTTATCTATTTTGCTGTCTAAAACATATTTGGCAACATGAATAATAAGATATAATGTCTGAAAAGTGGCAACAGGAACATCTCCTCAATAATAAACGACAACATGAAACAAAGCTCTCCTGTATCAGGTAGACTGTTAATTTTGTTTTGACGCCAACAGAGACTTTTCAAAAGATTCTCTATAATTTGCAGCACACATTTACTTCCCTGGAAGAAAGGAGCCTAATAAAGCTGATGGAGAAGAGAGAGAGAGATTATGGGGTCATGGTCCATAAAAAGGGGGGTGGGGTTATGTGGTGGTTATTCGAAAGAGTGAAAAACGGGTGAGGAAAGGGGGGTATTCCTGTACCCCATCTGTTCCCCTCAGTCACTATGAAGAATATACGTGGCCAGGGATGGGGTCAATCAGAGGGCAGGGGCTGGGTAGCTCACTTGCTGCATGTGAAGCCATGAAAGTCATCTAAAAGAGATTCATTAGTAATGTTAGGGGAGCAATGCTGTACCCCACTAATTCCTCAGCAGCTGTGAGCCACGCATCTGGTCTGAGCACTGTGCCTGTGATTGGCTGTGTTTCAGTGGGAGGGGCAGAAGAGGGAGGGGCCACAAAAAAGATCTATGATCTATGCTTTTCTCTTTTAAGGCACTGAGCTGCCACTGTCTCCTCTCTTTTTACCATGAGGGTTATAATTAGTGAGAAACGGCCGACGCAGATCTCTCAAAGAATTATAGAGAGGCCCGAAAGTGGAATAGAAAGATTTCCAGAGGCATGCGGTGGCCGTTGCTTGTGTAAACTGAGGCCAAATCAAAGCATTTATGGAGTAATATATTATATTTAGAATTCACTTTCATCAAGCAAGTCCTAAATGATCCGTTAGTTTTACAGAAACCTAAAACCACCCCAATCACTCCCCGCTGCCACACAGAAATGAGGTGCCTTCTTTCTCCGCACGGACCCACCTACCAAGACTGTATATCAAAAAATCAGTCAAGTGTCGGCATTCGCACATAACCATGTCTCAAAAAAGGATTTTAATTGGAGGAGCTCGACGGGAGCCTACTCAGGGGCCCTTTCTGTGCCCGTCGCATGTAACAGGCCTGGCCATTGACTGGCCCTCCATCCCCCGTGGCTGATATACGGCAGGCTTGTATGAGGATGGCTGTGCATAACTTTGAGAGTAGAGGCTACATAGATCAGCCCATCAGCGCAACTCTTGTCACCCTCCTTTTTTATGAGTCTGAGGTGGGGTTTTTTCTCGTGTAAAGATTTATGACAAGTTTTTTCTCTGCTATTTCATGGGTGTTTGAGAGGGGTTAGTTAAGCCCAATTCAACATGAAGACCTGATTGAGCTGTACCAACAGACGCTACTGTAGTTGGCAGTCACGGGGGAGGGATGGGTCGGGTGCAGAAAAAGACGGAACGAAAGAGGCAGAGGAATGTCTTAGGCCTGTAAAATAGCCACCTCTCAAGCCGAGACGCTTGCCATGTTTGGGTGGAGAGCAGTTTTTAATGGGGAAAGACAATTTGGCGCTCTTTCTGAAAGACTGACTTTCAGTGAGTGCTTCACAGGCAACCAGCGTCTGTACACATGTGGTCAGACAACTGATAAATGGACAGGACAACTAATCTGAAAGGAAAACATTCTCACTTTAATTACCCCCTATCTTTAAGCTGTGTGAAAACCGAAATTATAGCTGTCAGGCCAAGTAAATACTGAATGCACAGTTTTTCCCTTCACAATTGCCATCTTGTGTGTGTGTGTGTGTGTGTGTGTGTGTGAGAGAGAGAGCTTCGCCCCAAGCCGTAATAGCAGTATCTGTAACGTAGAGAGATTTAGTCGTTCTGGTGTAAATGTCATTCTGACACTTTTACTGTCCACATGCACATGCCAAAGAGCTGCCTGTGCATGTGTTACTGCGGGAAAAATTCCCAGCAATGTTGCTGACCCCCACGCAGTGACGCGTTGATGTGTCTGAGGCCGTGTTCTGCTTATTTAACAAGATATATCCATGAAACAATGAACACTGTTTTCAAGCACCAGCTAATATTCAGTGTCATCTCCCAAATGTTCTCCCTAAAGCGGAGTTGTAACCACCAAAGACATTGAAGGGGTCACGTTTTCCCTGATATTTTCCTCAATGATGAATTCTTAAACTGTCACCTGCAATCTTGAATTTGGCATTTGGTAAAAAAAAATATACACTATATACAGTAGCCTATATAGAATATGATCGATTTAACTAATTAGTCAATTAATTCAGTGTTTGTGCTTTTTGTTATTTTATTTAATTTATCACCAGGATTATGACAAATTCAGTACTGAAGAATTGGTTCCCTTTCAATCGCACACCTACAGGAATGACAGGAAGGAAGCTTCATTTACTGAATTGAAATTCAACACATGCATTTGGGGAAATGAAGTGGTTGTCCCACCCTAAAACTAATTCATTACATATAAATTAATTAATTTAAAATATATCTACCTCTATACTGTAAAAAGTGATCAGTTGACAACTTAAAAATGTAAGAAAACCAGTTGCCTTAAATCTTTTAATTTTTAACTTAATTTTTTTCAATTACAAAAAGTGTATTTACTTAATAATTTTAAGGCAACTGGTTCCTTCTATCTATCTGTCTATCTATCTATCTATCTATCTATCTATCTATCTATCTATCTATCTATCTATCTATCTATCTATCTATCTATCTATCTATCCCTATAAACAAACTTCAATGGTTTTTAAAACTTTTTTCAAAACTTTCAAACTATTTTTTAAATGTTGCCATTTTAAGCCAATTATAATTTACAGTCATTTGATAAAAAATCAATTCATTTGAATTGTACTGATATTAAAATTCAAATTACAAATCTGCATCCTGTTTGCTACTTCATTCCAAAGTCAGTTGAATTTGAAAAATTCTTAATTTGCAGAACAAGACATTCTAAAGGATTTTCTTCTAAACTGATTTTCTTATCTTCATCACTGAGTCTATTAAAACACACCAACATGAATTTGAAATAGATTTAAAACTCATGATTTAATTTAGCAAATCATATTAAAACAGGTGACACTGGAGTGAGCAAACACCGACAGGGCTGTTTAGAATACTTAGTAAACCATTGATTGGTGACTACAAGCGTTGACAGATTATTGGCACAGGAACAGGTATTTGTTTCTTTTACTGAATCAGTCCTTAATTTCAACCAGGCTCCCATTATAGGTCCGACCTTTGGTTGAACGGTTGATTGAGGCATACCATTCTCATTGCACAAAAAAACATCTTTTGTTCCTTTTATTCACTATTATCAACATAATGGTCGTTATCTGCAGCCTTTAGCAATGCTGATGGTTAATAGAGAGGGCTTTAATAGATTTTAGGAGGACAAAGGTAGCCAATGTTTAGCTGCACATGTCAGTCTTTTTGTGTGCAGGGAGAGTTTGCATTAAAAACCTCATTCACAAGGCTGGTTGATGTGTAATTAAATGTGATTACAGCCGCAGTCTGTGTGTGTCCTTTCTGAGGTCACTTGCGCGCACACACACACATAAAGCGCTGCAACACTCCGTCGCCAGGTTTCATCCCCCTTCCTTGGCTTCCTGAGGAGCCTGTGACTTTGGTGGCTGATGGGAAATTTTGTGCATGCCTGAGCTCACAAAGGCTCTCTTTCAGCTGCATGCATGCTTGACCTCTTGCAGTTCATCGCCCCGCTTTGTGCTCCCGTGACCTGGCGCTGACCAGGGGTTTCCCCTGGAGGTCAGCGGTTCAATCGGGTGGCTGTGTCTAATTTCTTGCTGGCTACAGAATCTCTCTCCCCCCGCTGCCAAATCTGCCCAGCAATCTGCCCACAGTCTCCCCTTCTGCTGCTTGGGCCTAATTCCAATCTTCAGGGATTAGGTGTGGAGTGACAAGACCCTCGGGCCAATAGGCTGACTTGTCAGTTAGGTTCGAAGGCCAATGGTACACAATAGCCAGACTTTTCCTGTCTCCTACCTAAAACCAGCCCCCCTAAAACAACACACTAAAATCCCCTCCCAGGAGAGCATATGCCTAACTGGGGCACGCTGGTCCCAACCTCTCCTCCAAAAACACTAGCAACAGAAAAGAAGCCTATGTTGCCCGGAATCCGCGGAGCTCCTGTTGCAGATCAACATCCCTTGTTCCTGTTTCCCTTTCCTGCTCAAATCTCTGTCCAAATGAAACAACACCGTGTTTCGTCTCTGTGTAGGTGCTGTTGACAGACAGAGCCATTGATGTGATCTCTGCATGCATAATAAAACCTACACCGTGTGTCAAAGTAAAGCATTGCGGGACTCAAAGATATTGCAGGTGTTGGTTACTTTGAAAACAAAACGAACAAACCGTCAACTTCCAATTTCAGTAATATTTGTCAAATGAAAGTGAACCTGACTAACCGTGACATGCTGTGACGCTGTAGGCAACATGTAACTCCACTCCTGGCCACTGGAGGCAGCAGGGCGCACTAGTGTCTTTGGGAACGCCACACTGGCAACACTGCGCGTACTTCCTGGTTACAGATTGTGCAAACAAGGTTTTTTTGTGCCTATTTCGGGAAATATCTTTCTAAATATTTGTTGACTCTCTTTTAACTTTATACAGACGGCATAAACATCACCGGACGTTTATTCATAATTATTTTAAAACAGTTATGAACCGATGGTGACATAGAAATGAATGACTGATGGGAAAAGTGTGGACGTGGTATGTAAACAAGCTTTTTTATAGCATCCTCAGTCCTGAGATGGGAAACTGTATGAACTGTCAATGTGGTTAGTTATGAGAAATGTTAATTGTTGCAATATAAATAGCATATTAAATTGGCAAATTAGATATATAGTATAGAACAACTACTCGATGTGTTACTGTAGTATTCACTCAGTGTTATACATACTGTCACATGAACTCTTAATATTAATCTGATAGACTAAAGTGTTTATTTTCTCCATTGATTGAAGATAAACGCAAACACTGCATATTTTCTTCCATGTAAACATGCCCAATCAACATGTTCTATGAGTTGTTTAAAAAAAAACTGTTGCCATATGGCAAGCAAACCAAAAACACATTTGACAACTACACTTGCTGTTTGTAATCAGTGCAGCAATTAGATATATGCCATTGTTAATGTTTTCAAGGAATCAGGTTAGTTGAACTTGTCTGTAGACCAACAATAGAAACATTTATTCAATGTATTCCAGGTGTCATTATGTGATGATCTGCTTTCCTTTAGCATGGAAGGGAATCTCTTCTAAATTTAGCATCTTTTCTATATTTCAGAGTTTATTTGGAGTTGGTTTATTAGTATAAAGTATTTATATTATAGTATATTAGTTTATTAGTATAGAATTTGTATTGATTTACATATATATATATATATATATGCTTTGATTGGCATTGATTACTGTTTTTAAGAAACTGTTTGCATATTATTCTTCTGTCATACAGGATAAAAATTGAGTAAATTAATAAATAAGCAATTTAATTGTTGGAAATTGTTATTTTTTATTAACCTGTATATTCCTCTTCATTTACAAAGCATAACACTATAAAAAAAAAAAAAAAAAAAAAAAACTCTCAATTTCAGTAAGGCTGAATGTGATAATGCTGATGTCTTTGTTTTCTTCTGTGTCTCCACAGAGCATCATAGCGAACAGTTAAAGGACATCTGTGTCAACCCACTTATCTTAATTAAACCTTAAGCCAGTGTAGAAGCACCACACATACCCGTCTGGACATTAGAGATCTCAGCTGTCCGAGAGCCAAAATGACTGCGTCAAATTCGGGTCTGATCATGAACGTTGTAAACAGCATTGTGGGTGTGAGTGTCTTGACGATGCCCTTCTGCTTCAAACAGGTAAACACATGGTTAAAGCCGGGGTTATGGGAACGTGTGCTGTGCAGTTTTGTGTGCTGATAGGAGGATTCCATATGATTAAGTCTGCCAAATGCACTTACAGTGGTTTACACACAACTTTGCTGGTTAATAATCTGTAAGCTGAGTGAATCAGAAATTGATAAGCTGCCATTTTAGTTTGTCCACACTATTTTGTATCAGTACAAGAATCAGTGTAACCATGTGACTTTGATTTTAAACATGTAGGACTGTGTTCATCTATTATCTATCTATTATAGAAAGTTTTCTTTTTCCTTCTCTCTGCAGTGCGGAATTGTGTTGGGCACGTTGTTGTTGTTCTTCTGTTCGTGGATGACCCACCAATCCTGCATGTTTCTAGTCCACTCAGCCAGTAACACCAAACGCAGGACTTATGCTGGACTAGGTGAGAGTGAACAAAAGCAACAAACACACAGAGGTTGCATTCATTTTCCATCATTTACCAAATAACAATGTTTTAGAACAGTGGTTCTCAACTCCAGTCCTCGGGACCCGCTGCTCTGCACATTTTGTATGTCTCTTTTATCTGACACGAGGGGTGCTTCTCATTTCTTATTTGTGCATCCTCGTTTCCTTTCCTTGTTTCCTTTCCTCGCTTCCTTTCCTCGCGTCTCAGCTCCACCCCCTGTAGAACACGAGGGAAGGCTGCAAGGAAAAAAAATGAGGATGTAGGAATTGAATAAAAGCTTTTTTATACATTGGAATACTTGATCACTCGAGCGTCACTTCACAGCGTCATCAGCAGCGCTCAAAGGATCTGCCCTTATGTTGTTAAAGTTAGTTTATTTAAGAAATTCATAATAAATAATAATAAAGCAAGATACCTTGTTGAAATATGTGAGATGTGTGGTTTATGTAAACTACAAAAGTAAAGTATAAATTCAAATGATTGTGACAGATGTGAAGGGGGAGGAGAATTGATACGTGCGTCACGTTTAGTCGATAAAACTCTTCCGCAAAGGGTACACCTGTGTATCCTCGCTCATAGCTCCTCTGGAAGCCTCCTCACTCCTCGATCCTCGCCTCCTCGCGGTGCAAATTATAGAATTGAGATGTCCTTCTAGATGGCTGAGCTCAATCGGTTTCCGGGTCATAGGATGGAGGACGGAGGAGCGAGGAGACAAGGAGGGATATTGAGAAGCACCCACTCAGTTCAGTTTATAGAGTCTATCCTAACGAGCTGAGGATCTGAATCAGGTGTGTTAAATAAGGGAGACATATGCTGCGTCCCAATTCGCATACTATCCGTCCTAAATAGTATTCGAAAATAGAATTAGTACGTCCCAAATCGTAGTATGTTGAAATGAGTGTCCCAAAGAGACCCGGATGGTCTACTATATCCGGTCAGAATCCGAAGTGCAGATCGTTGCGCACTCTAACGGCTGATATTGCCCACAACCCATCGCGCGTTGGACGAGGATTCGGTTAGAACTACAATCACGAGTGAAAAGTGTTCAAAAACTACAGACATGGAGGACGCGCAAGTCCGACGGTGATGTAGAGAGGTTTAGACAAAGGGGTTTGAGTGATTAATTATCAGTATCTAACCTGACGAAAATGTATTTATTCAATGTCGTCCACATTATATTGCATCTGCAGCATTGTGAACTTTTGCAAAGATACGTTTAGCCATTAACTTTTAAATGCATTATTATATTCAAATTCCAAACACGCGAGGAGAGTCTCCTCATGAAAGACCCACGACTGGCAGATGAACGTGCGACAACAATTCTCTCCGAAATGGTAAGAAGTTATATTAGATTGAATGGAGGATTTTAACTGTGACGAGATGATTGACAGGGCAGTTTACGGTGACAGGATGCACGCGACAGAGCTGTCCGTTAAAGATGACGAAGTAGTATGTCCCAAAGCTTGCCTACTCTTTTGCTACACACTCAAAAGTATGTACTTTTTCTTCACAAAAAGAGTACATACTTTTAGGGCGTAGTATAAGTAGGCGAATTGGGACGCAGCAATACACAATATGCAGAGCAGTGGGTCCCGAGGACTGGAGTTGAGAACCACTGTTTTAGAATGTCCTGCGTGTGGATTACTGTGGAATAATTCATTCAATTCAGTTAAAGGGATATTTCATTCAAAAATTCAAGTCATTAATTACTCCCTCATGTCGTTCCAACCCCGTAAGACTTTTGTTCATCTTCAGAAACACAGATGAAGATCTTTTTGATGAAAAAAAAAAAGACCTTTCTGTCCCTCCATAAACAGTTATGCAACTAGCACTTTGACACTTCTAAAGGTTCATGAAGAGATTGTAAAACTAATCCATATGAGCACTGAGCAGTTTAGTCCAAATTTCCTGAAGAGACTCACTCGATCGCTTTATATGATGAACAGATTGAATTTAGGTTTTTATTTAACTTAATTCACTTCTTTGCTGAAGATTAAGAGATCATTATGAAACTATCATGAAATGAAATGCATTTACAAAGTTTGAGAAGGCAGCTAAAAGAAAATCTCTAACTTTATCAATGCAAGTGAATCAAACAAAATAGGCCTTTTAATTTATATAGTTTCACAAAAGCTACACTTACAACTCATCGTTAACGCAGATTGAAAGATCTCCTGCCACAGCAGTGTTTGTACAACCTTTATTGTCAAAGGGGAGAAGAATAATAGTAATAAAAAATGTACTTTTACAAGACATTTTTGGAAGAAACTTCCTTTTTTGGTTTTGGTTTTGAAATTTGCCAACCTTTTTCTCTCTATCTCTTCCTTCCCAGCTTTTCATGCTTATGGAAAACCAGGCAAAGCACTTGTGGAATTGAGGTAAGATGCTTTTGTGGAGATTTAACTTTTCCAGCTTCGGCCTCATGAATGAAGTAAGGTCTTATTGCTTGTATTTTCTACTTACAATCTCTCTCTTTTCAGCATGATTGGACTCATGCTGGGAACATGCATTGCTTTCTATGTCGTCATCGCAGATCTGGGGTCCAACTTCTTTGCTCAGCTGCTTGGGCTGCAGGTAAGATTAACCTTCCTACTTTTAGGTTGTCACCTGGCTAAAATTAGTTAAACTCCTGTTGCTACTCCAACACATTTCTTCCAAATCAATTAATTGTTGATACGCAGTTCCCAGAACTGATCATTGCCCTTGTTCACAATCCTCCTGTAATGATAAATTGAATTCAAAGGCCACTATCTATAAAAAAGTGCTGAGCTAATAAAAAAAGAACACTTCATAGACTTTTTATAACTCTAGAGTAGATTAGATCACAGTTTCTGTGTGAAAATTAACTTTTTATCACACCTTATCACACCAGGTGAATTGAGAAATATTACTGGCCATGAATATATCTTACTAGTGGTCGAATGATATATCGCCAAAGCGAATATATCGGCTTATCAACCTTATCTTCGGCCACCCTGCTCTCTAAGATATCGCCATTTGCCATCAAAAAGCATAATATTGGTCGATCACTAGTAATTACATTTTATATACACTCACCTAAAGGATTATTAGGAACACCTGTTCAATTTCTCTTTAATGCAATTATCTAATCAACCAATCACATGGCAGTTGCTTCAATGCATTTAGGGGTGTGGTCCTGGTCAAGACAATCTCCTGAACTCCAAACTGAATGTCAGAATGGGAAAGAAAGGTGATTTAAGCAATTTTTAGCGTGGCATGGTTGTTGGTGCCAGACGGGCCGGTCTGAGTATTTCACAAACTGCTCAATTACTGGGATTTTCACGCACAACCATTCCTAGGGTTTACAAAGAATGGTGTGAAAAGGGAAAAACATCCAGTATGCGGCAGTCCTGTGGGCGAAAATGCCTGGTTGATGCTAGAGGTCAGAGGAGAATGGGCCGACTGATTCAAGCTGATAGAGGAGCAACTTTGACTGAAATAACCACTCGTTACAACCGAGGTATGCAGCAAAGCATTTGTGAAGCCACAACACGCACAACCTTGAGGCGGATGTGCTACAACAGCAGAAGACCCCACCGGGTACCACTCATCTCCACTACAAATAGGAAAAAGAGGCTACAATTTGCAAGAGCTCACCAAAATTGGACAGTTGAAGACTGGAAAAATGTTGCCTGGTCTGATGAGTCTCGATTTCTGTTGAGACATTCAGATGTTAGAGTCAGAATTTGGCGTAAACAGAATGAGAACATGGATCCATCATGCCTTGTTACCACTGTGCAGGCTGGTGGTGGTGGTGTAATGGTGTGGGGGATGTTTTCTTGGCACACTTTAGGCCCCTTAGTGCCAATTGGGCATCGTTTAAATGCCACGGCCTACCTGAGCATTGTTTCTGACCATGTCCATCCCTTTATGGCCACCATGTACCCATCCTCTGATGGCTACTTCCAGCAGGATAATGCACCATGTCACAAAGCTCGAATCATTTCAAATTGGTTTCTTGAACATGACAATGAGTTCACTATACTAAAATGGCCCTCACAGTCACCAGATCTCAACCCAATAGAGCATCTTTGGGATGTGGTGGAACGGGAGCTTCGTGCTCTGGATGTGCATCCCACAAATCTCCATCAACTGCAAGATGCTATCCTATCAATATGGGCCAACATTTCTAAAGAATGCTTCAGCACCTTGTTGAATCAATGCCACGTAGAATTAAGGCAGTTCTGAAGGCGAAAGGGGTTCAAAAACAGTATTAGTATGGTGTTCCTAATAATCCTTTAGGTAAATGTATATTTACGGTCTTGTTATATTGCCGGTAACTGATTTTCCTTTTGCTTTTTCAGGTGACACGTAGCTTCCGTATCGTGTTACTGATCTCAGTCTCGCTGTTAGTCGTACTACCTCTCAGCTTGCAGAGAAACATGATGTCATCCATCCAGTCATTCTCAGCCATGGCGCTGATCTTCTACACACTCTTCATGTTCACGGTGAGTCGTTCCCCTTTCCACCGTTCTAAACTCCAACCCTGTAAAATGTAATATCAGATCCCATCAGCACACCCTCATACAGATGTAGGCAGTTTACTTTATATATATATATATATATATATGGCATTGATAAGAAGTAAAGGAGTAATTTGATCTTTTAGCGTTTTGAATATTTAATTAAATTATATAAAAATCATTTGTCATAAAAATCATAAAAAGGATTGTAAAGCGTAAGAACTTCAAATTACAGCTGCTTATTATGGTTGCTTTAAGGAAATGTTTTTGAAAGTCACTTCAATGATGTAGTGTATTAAGTATGTGTGAAATTCATTGATAGCTTTTTTAAAAATTAAATTAGCCAATTTCTGTTTCTTTTGAGTAGTTTAATGTGGCAATTGGCTGATTTTTGTGAATACAATGTGAGTATGCATCACCATGGCAGCAGGACTTCAATGTCTGTGGATTTTTTGGAAGCTTAAAAGTGAAGCGTAAGCTCTTAAAGAACTAAAGTGAGCCGTCACAGAACATTATAAAACTATATTAGGAAAAGATGTTGAATGCGGTGGAGAACAGTTTTTAAATCAAATTCAATGAACATTCATGTAAAAGGTTTTCGAGTTATATACAGTGTATAATTGCTGAGATCATATTGAAATTCTGTAATTTAACCCGTACGTATACGTTTCAGAATTTTGAGAAGTGTAAAACAAATTAGCTTAAAAATTAATAAGACAGATATGGAAGATTCTGCAATATTGATGATAAATGATTTTATTGAGCATAAATGTGATATTGAGCAACCTCTTTGTAAAGACGGTCAGATGTTCTTTCTTCCATTGAAGCTAAAAAAATCCTTAAAGTTCAGGTTTTACGCAGGATTTTACTTGAATTGTGTTGATAATTTAATTTGTAATAATAAAATGACAAAAAGGCATTTTCCTCACAACATAGAAGCACTAATGGTTACTAATGTTCCTGATATCGACATTTTTTACCCAACTTTATGTAATCTGAACATTTTATAACATTGACATTGCAAACATGGATGTTCCTGGAGTATTTTAGTCTATTGCATCACAGAGTAATCACCTTAACAGTTTATATACCTTTTATCCAGCTCCACGGTGTGCCCCACCCCCCACCCCCCCGACCCAATTTATTAGTCTAGCATTTAACCAATTATGTGTCTTCCCTCTGCCCCCATCTCAATCTCTGCCCCGCTCCCATTCCTGATGCTGACTTCTGACTGACCATCTGATGCACCGGCCTATAGATAGTGTTGTCGTCTCTGCGTTACGGAATAATCAGTGGCTCCTGGGTGGAGCAAGTCCATCTGTGGCGCTTCAAGGGTGTCATACAGTGTCTGCCAATAATCGCCACCACCTTCTGCTGCCACCCGTAAGTAATCTGCCCCGGAGAACGGACCACTCCACTGCCATGGATTCAGCTACATTACCCAAAAACCCCTTTCTCCTCTGTCCACCTTCATCCAATCCAAAGCTCTGTTTGTCAGCGCTGTCTGGTTCCGGGTATTTTTGTGTGTGTCTTTATGTGTGTGTGTGAGGTTAGTGCGTTCGTGGCAGAATTCATATGAATTGTGGGTCGTCAGAGTTGTCTTGACTCTTTGGTAATAGCCAGAGTCCCCTGATATATTCCCGCTTGAATTATGCACTATGACTGGGTAAGCAGATCTGATAGGGTTGGGATTGGTGGTGATTCTGATGGTTACACGGGCTGGCGCTCTTGATTTCGAAAGGTGCTGCGAATGTTTTCTGCAAACGTGTGCAGCAATCAGATTTTATCCTTCAAGATTGTCCTGCATGAAAGTAGAGAGTTTTCCTGTTCTTTAGAGATGAACTCGTATTAAAAATCATGTGTGGAAGTTGATCAGTACAATTTGTTGCACTTTTAGTTGGTTAAATTAATTTATTTGTTTCTCCCCTTAAAGAATAGCTCACTCAAAAATGAAAATTCTGTAATGATTTACTCACCATAATATTGTTCTAAATCTGATTACTTTCTTTCTTCCATGAAACACAAAAGAAAAAAAAGTCTGCGCTGTTTTGATGTTTTCAAGCTTCTAAAAGGATGCAAAAACCATAAAAGTGATCCATACGACTAATGCGCTGTTCTGAACCTATGTGATAGCTTTGTGTGAGAAGCAGTCTAAAGTCAGTTTGTGGTCAGTAAGATATTTTTTTTTAAAGAAATTAATACTTTTATTCAGCAAAGATGCATTAAATTGACCAAAAGTGACAATAAAGAACTTAAAAAAATTATTTTCCACAAAAATACGAAGTGATACAACTGTTTTCATCCTTGATAATAATATGCAATGCAATAATTAGATAGCCAAATTGCTTTGACAAGAGCTACTAGTGTCCATAATTTCTCATTTTGTGTTCCAAAATAACGTCATACTGGTTTGGAACGACATGAGGGTGAGTAAAAGGTGACAGAATTTTAATTTTAGGGTGAAGTCTTTAAATCTCTTTAAACAGATTATAGCGTCTCCATGAACTCTTCGTAGTCAGTCTAAGGGTTTAATCACAGCATCATCACTGCCCTCCTCGTCTTTTCCCCCCCTCCCTTCTTTCTGGGATGTTCTGTAACCCTCCTGCTCTCCCCTCCACCACAGATGGTGCTCTCCTCCTTCAAACACGGCCTCCTCACTGGCCAGTGGCTGAACAAGGTCATTTACGTTCGGTGGGACGGCGTCTTTCGCTGCATCCCTATCTGTGGCATGGCATTTGCCTGTCAGTCGTAAGTACTCCCCAATCCTCGCACTGCCTCTTCCCTCCTTTCTGTCGCCAGTTAGGCTTAATTTAAATATCTGAGGAATTGTGTGGCTCTAATCTGCGTGGATTGCCTAACTTGTTGCCTTCTGCGTACTGTTTTTACCCTATTCTTAACACTAACTCTGTTCCTTAAAGGCTTAGTGACCCAAAAAGGAAAAATCTGTCATCATTTAATCGCCATCATGTCGTTCCAAATCTGCATGACATTCTTTCTTTCATGGAGGAAAAGACCAACAGTTAAGTTTGTCTTGCTTCCGCTGTAGCTTTTAAATCTTTCGCACAAAAAAAAAAAAAGGAAGAAAGTCATACAGGTTTGGAACAACGAGTGAGTGAATAATGGCAGAATGCCTTTCAGTTGTGAGTGAACTCTTCCTTACCATGAAAGGCCTCTGGCCCTTTCGAACATGTTTGAATAGCTTCGGTTTTCTTTGCAATAAAAGACCCACAAGCCCGTCTTAATTTATTCTGTCAGTTGACATCTTGTCAGATCCGCATACAGTTGAACTGTAAGTGCATTTCGATATAAGCATAAATGATGAGTTTTTGCAGCTTTTCATAGTTTTTCTATAAGGAGCTCGCCGTGACCAGATCGTCCCCTGGTGAATTCAACCACTGTGAACTGACAGAGTCTTTGTTTGTATTATGTTGAAACTCTGATATGTTGTGGGAGTACCATTAACTAATGTTGAGATCATAGTTCAAATTGTTACAGCTCTTTGATACTGCTGGGAGACATTTGTCCAGTGTTTATACATATCGATAATAATTCACATTCTTTTTCTCTGTCTTGAACTAATTTCATGTCTCTATTCTTTCCTTTTCCGCTAGCTCAAATATACTAACCATGAAAGGGGGGGGGGTGTAATCTCAGTGTTTACCTGATCAGGTATTCTCAAGCTTGGGCAGGGAGCGTCATTTACTCACTCCTTTCTGTTTCTAATGTTTCACAACATTAACGCCATTCACCACGCCATGTCCATTCATCTTCCACTTCCAGTTCCTTCATGCTCTTTTTTTTCTCTTTTTTTTATTATGCAGATCATTCTTACTGTAGTTTTTCTATATCCACATTATATTAAATACAATCTCTACAATACACATATGGTTATCATAGTTTTGACCTGTCTAATATTGTCTGTTAAATGGATGTTTTTTTAAAACAATTAAACTATCAACATCCAGGGATGTTTTTAAAAAAAAAACTACATTAATGTAATAATATTCCTACATCTAAATGTTTATATTTAAACATTACTGTTTAAAAGTTTGGGTTCTGCAAGATTTGTAAATGTTTTTGAGATAAAAATGCACAGACAAAAACAGCAATTCGTGAAAAAAGTAAGTTTATAGAAATATATATATCACATACATGTAGGCCTACATATAAGGTTCCTTCTGTTTTCTTTAACATGGTGCATGTTTGTGTGTGTCTTGGTTTTAATGTGTTTGGAAGTGAATAGAATTGAGGTGTCTAAGTGTGCGGATGCCAGTACAAATTGTGTGTGTGTGTGTGTTTGAGAGTGAGGGTGTTGGGGTGGAGGAGGTGTCAGTGTTGGATTCTGGTGTGGATGAGGTAATGTGGTTCTTGAGGCTAACTGTAACTCTCACTTTACACACACACACACACACACACACACACACACACACACACACACACACACACACACACACACACACACACACACTCACTCTTTCTCTGAAGGGTGATGAGTGATATTTGGCTGTGACTTCTTGGCCAGCATTGACATACAATGCCACTTACACCCGATCATTAGAAGAGCGAGACAGTGCTACATGACCTCTGATCCGACCACAAACAGTTCCTGTCATCGCCTACGTTTATCCATCCATTTACATTTATTACTTTAGTACATTTAGTACGAGCTCTGTTTGATGCCAAATTGAATCATTAGAGAAAAGTTGACTTGTTTGCTCTTTTGACTTCGAGAACAGATACTGTTTATTGAAGAGCAGCATTCTGGGTCCACTGGTGCCCTTATACGGCTCCTACTTAATGTGTAAATACCTCTGTAATGTGTAAACACCAAAATAGTGTTATTCCTATCATAAAATTGTCATGTCAGCTTACACAGCATCAAGTCACAGATTCACAGCTTTAGGTGTTATGACGGAATCATTTTAGTAGTATTACAAAATAATTACTGTGGCAACAGTTGGTAGAGGTGTAGAGAAATTGCAGTGGGACTGTAGCATCACCGATCTTCCCCCTTCACGCGCACTGAAATTTAATCAGGAATGGCTTTTCTGGGGTCTTTTCTCTCCATCTTATGACACTGAATTCTACAAATCTATATAATTCTATAGTTATGTGTCTGAATTCCAGTTTGTGTCCTTGTCATGGCTGTAAAAGCATTTGATTGGCCATGCTACTAACATATGCCCCCCTTTTATTTCCCTCTCTCACTCTCTCTCAATTCAATTTGAACTATATTGGCAACATGAAAGATATTGTGAAAAAGCATTTGGAAGGACTTGAAAGATTAAAACTTACACGGAGGGAAATGATAAAACTATATTTGCATTTCCTGAAGGAAAAAAAAACAGGGCTTGCATTTTTTAAAATAAAGTCAGATTTTAGATTTGGGTTCTGGGTAAATTGCGCATCACGTGTTGCACATCTTGTTGTCATGAGACTCAATATGTGACTGGTTTTCTGTCAGTAGTATATGAGAATCAACCATTGGCTTCTAAATGGTGTCAGTTAATAAGTATTTCTTAGGAGAAACAAAGGTAGCATTTACTGGCCTTAAAACACAAATTCCCAATTATGCCACATTCAGATCACGTTTTTTGTCTTCCTGGAGACATTTGTAGACATTTATACAATACAGTATGCAAATTTTACAATGACAAGACAACATCGATTCATTTTCAAAAGTTTGGGGTCGGTAAGATTTTAAATGTTTTTGAAAGAATTCTCTTATGGTCACCAAGCCTGCATTCATTTATTTGCAATAAATAAGTAAAAACTGTTTTCTATTTTAATATATTTTAAAATGGAATTATTATTGTGATGGCAAAGCTGAATTACCTTTGTCGTCAGTGTCACATGATCCTTAAGAAATCATTGTAATATGCTGATTTAGTGCTGGAGAAACATTATTATCAATGTTGAAAACAGTTGTGCTGCTTAATATTTTAGGTTAAAATTTTAGGATTCTCTGATGAATAGAAAGTAAAAAAAAAACAGTAGAAATCAATAGAAATCTTTTTAAACATTATAAATGTCTTTACTGTCACTTTTGATCAATTTAATGCATTCTCCTATCAAAAAAAAAAGAATGTTTGGCCAATATCATAACAGTGCTGTGTTGCAAATACTGTAATGAATACGTGAAAAAAATACACATAAAATGTGTAAGTCTACATAGATGTCTCTCTCTCTCCTCCTTCTCTGGTTTTTATTGCAAGTGGGTTCCTGCTATGAGACAGACTGGCCTTTGGTGTGAGATCAGGCGTTGGCTTAAAAAGCCCAGAACATGGTACTGTATATCCCAATAAAAGCAGGAATGGGCTCCGACTGTGTCTACAAGAGCTGTGAGTGGGCTGAGAGCAAGAGAGCCCAAACAAAAGCCCATACTGCCAGGAAATTTTATAACATGCTAAAGTCTGACTAGCACTTGTCGATAATATATAGCCGTTGTAAATTCCCCATTTAATGTTTTGCTGGCGTCTGGTTTTATTAGTTGTCCTGATGACAGACACAGATTTTTTTTCCTGCTCTTTTTGTAGCTGTTTTTTGTTTCTCTGTGATACTGAACCCTTTATCAGTGCTCGTTTCATCCAATTCGGCTCTCCCTCCTTCCCACCCCCCCTCCATTTTGTCTTTTGTATGTCTGAAATAAGTGATGGCCTTTCTATATTAAATTCCTGCTTCTCTTGCTCTCTTGCATGTTTATGTCTCTAGAGCTCAAATGCACAGTTCAGTATGTCCTTATGCTAAATAATGATGATTATACTGTGACTGGTCAGTTTGAGTTAACCCATAAATAAGCATTTATGTGATTTCGCATAGTGTTATATTTGTTATATTTAACGTTACTATAAATCTGACATTGCAAAAATTGTGCATCTGTTATAATAATGTGTCCTTTAGTTTTGTGATTTTTTTTTTTTTTAAAGGAATGCTTTGGGTTTGATGCAAGAATTTATCAGTGACGTGCTGTAGATTACCACATGGTGTCCCTCATTTTGTAAAAACATACAAAAAAAAACATCAGTCCATGTTATTCTGGTAGACCCCGTACATTGACATGATATGTAGAAAGATGCAAGAAATGGGCTTTTAAAAAAAGAAAAAGTAAAAATTCACCCACAATAATTACATCAGTTATGCACAACCAAATGTTCTTCCACCTAGAACACTGTTAAATAATGATTTAGACTTCTTTACAGTTCAAATAACGGACATTTTGGAAAGAGCTAATATAAACGTTAATATAAGCATAATATGAAAATATGATTTCCAACTGAATTTTTGTCTGTGGTAATCAACAGTATGTCAGTCTTAACTTGTATTGACCCACTTCAACGTGTGCATCTTGAGCCTGATGTATATAAAAAAGTTTTTTCTTCCATAGGCAAGTATTACCCACTTATGACAGCCTGGATGAGCCCTCGGTGAAGAGAATGAGCACAATATTCACCTCTTCCCTCAACGTGGTCACCACCTTCTACATCACAGTAAGTGTGTGAGACACTTCATCAACTGATAACTGATAATCTGCAGCTTGTTGAGGCCAAAACAATAACCATTTTGTTTTTGTATTTTAGCCTTTTCTTCTGTTTTAACCTTTTCTGGAGTGATGAACTAAATAGCGTATTAATTTTCTGACAAATGAGAAGTGCTCTATTTCATACTTACTATAATCTTATTTCATAAATAATATTAGGAATCAGTAAAACATCATACACATCGGATAGTCGTGTCATATGTTTTTCAGTCATTTGAAAGGGTATCGATTAGTAACAACTTTTATTCTGTAAGGATGCATTGAATTGATCAAAAGTGACAGTAAAGACATTTATAATGTTACAGAAGATTTGCGTTTCAAACAAATACTGTTCTTTTGAACTTTCTATTCGTTAAATCCTGAAAAATATATCATGTTTTCCACAAAAATATTAGCAGAACAGTTTCTACATTGATGATAATATGAAATGTTCCTTAAGCAGCAACTCAGCATATTAGAATGATTTCTGTAGGATCATGAGACTCTTAAAATATTTTAAAATAGAACATTTTTAATATTTCACAATATTACTGTTTTACTGTGTTTTTGATCAAATAAATGCAGCCTTGGTGAGCATAACAGATTTCTTTCAAAAACATAACATTTTACTGACCCCAAACATTTGAACGGTAGTGTATAAGATGCATTTTTGTTTATACAGACTAGCAATTACCGTATATAAAACTTATAACATTTGCTCCGTTGCTGCTCTGTCCTTATTGGCTCCTGGGAACCTGTGCCCTCAGACACGGGAAAGAAATTAGGATTCAAGAATGGTAGAGTTGCTGTCGGCTCATGTTCTTGCTTTTAGATCCATATCCGTCCCCTACAGGTGATTGCCCTTCCCCTTTTGTGGGTTTTGGGTTCACGCTGATACCCTGGAAAATCCTTCCAATTCCCATTTGGAGCTTAGAGGAAGAGAAAGAACTCAGACGATGGGGTCAGACCCACTGGCACGTTCCTCTATAACCCACATACACTGACATGCTCCATCAACATCAAATGCCTTGTCTCTTTTATTCCTTCATAAATATTTTCAGGGCCACTTTGTGTGGAATGTGTTTTAAGACATCGTCAGAATGTTTCTGGTCCCTATTCTCTTCTCTGAAAGCTAAAGTATAAACGTTACCTTGAGAGATAATATTGCTCGTGATTTTTTTTTTTTTTTTTTTTTTTTTACTGTGTTCTTTGTATTCTGCTTTTATATTTCATCATCTTTTTGCTTTTTTTTCTCTTTGAACAAAAGCTGAATTGATTCAGGGGAGGGTTTGTAGAATAGAATAGAGAGGGAGTTTTGTGGCAGGCTCAAGGACTTCTGCCTGGTGTTGCTACTGAAGGGAACCTTTTCCTCTGCGGATAGATCAAGGCCAGCAAGGTCGGGAAAGGAGGGAAAGCACTGCTTTGTTTCTCTGTAGAGAGGGCCTTCAGGGGGCCGATAGGCTTTAAAGACCTTTGAAAAGCAGCTCGCTATTTTTCATCGCATAAAAACAATATCATTGCACAGTCAGGAGGGGTTGTGAGGTCATCAAAGAGACACGGAAAGAGACATGGATCTCTGTTAGGCTGCTTCTGTATAATGCCATAAGAAGTTTTGTTTTAGTCCTGATCATTTCAAGCAGGATCAAGTGACCCCATATGAAATTATACACTTCACATACTGAAGTGGAAAGTCAGTGTAACAGAATTCTTCTCCTTGCTTGCCTCCAAACAAACATTACTTCAGTTTTGAGTATCCATCTTTTTAAATTGAAAAACTGCAGTGAAACTAGGACTGTGCCAAAATGATCATTAATACATCACAAAATAATTTCTCACACATAATGCACAAAAGTGCATTAGCAAAAAATGTTTTTAGATGATTTTTATGTAAAATAATATAATGACTTTCTCAGCCTCTCCAATCCAATCCTGATGAACAAAACTACAACGATGAGTCCTACACTACATTAATTTTTGCCTAATTTTTAGTTAGTTATGCAGATTTGTCTGTTATGCAGATTTGTCTTTCATAAGTCTCAAATGATTAACTGTACTTCGTACCGTGTTCCTCCAGGTGGGGTTCTTCGGCTATGTGAGCTTCACAGACAACATTGCTGGGAACGTACTGATGAACTTTCCATCTAACCTGGTAACGGAGATGATCCGTGTGGGCTTTATGATGTCTGTGGCTGTGGGCTTCCCCATGATGATCTTGCCCTGCAGACAGGCCATCAACACAATGCTATTCGAACAGCAGGTAACAGTCTTACAAAGACGGGTTTATTATTTATTTATTTTGATGCCATGGACCTCCTCAAAATGATGTTTCCCTTGTGACCGACCACCTTCCTAAAACATAAAGACAGCAATTTACTTTCATGAATAAAAAAACATTTATACTCTAAAATATAACGTGTTGTAATATTATATATACATTTATAATATTATATGGAAAATATGTATTTTCTATTTAGTAAAATTTGGTTTATTATTTAAATTAATTACTTTTATTTAATTATTTTTATTTATTATTTTAGTTTATTTATTTATAAATCATTTTTACACAATGTTTCTAACTAAACTTATACTTAACCCCCTTGCGGGTTTTAGTTTTTATTTTAGTTTTATTATAGTTTTATTCATATTTTTTATTGACTAAAATATAAAAATAAAAGCTTTCATGTTCATTTTAGTTAAATGTTTTAGAAATTTCGGTTCCTCATTATATATATATATATATATATATATATATATTTAAAATATTGCTATTTAGGTTTCATTTATTTTTATTTCAGTTGTAGTTTAGTTTTTATTTATTTATCATTTTAGTGCTTCAACTTCAGTTTATTGCCAAGGCAACATTTCTCATTTTCGCTTAGTTTAAGTCTTTCAACTAATATTTACAATTTATTTTATTTAAGCTTAATTTCATTTAACAGAAATAATTTTTGTTAGTTTTAGTTGACGATAATAACCCTGCCCAGACCTAGGGTTTTGATTGGAAAATCGATTCCAATTCTGGAATCAGATACTTATTATGAAATTAATATTTCAATTCCTCTTATTGTGTAAGTGCATTTTAACATGACTTTATACCATTCAAGCGCAAGAATACCTGCATGCTTTTTTTCTGTGCTGCACACTCATCCAAAGTGCGCACACAGAAAAAGTGATTTTAATGTGATTTTAAACCATCCAAGCGCAAGAAGACTCACTGTTCCAAGACATCCGCACAGAAAGCAGATTTTCATACTGTATAGTGCACGATACTGAACTGAGTTCTCTACCGCATCTTTTTGCACTTGAACAAATACACTTAAAATATGTCAAAATATTGTCGTGAACGTAAACTGTTGACAAAGAAAATGCATGACAGTATAGATCCGTACTGCTCTTAAAGTGACAGAAGCCTAATATTCCTGCTGTTAATCAAACAACTAAAGACAACGAGAAAATTCTGTTCTTGACGATAACTTTTTAAACTATTTGTAATGTATATTTTATTTATAAAATGCAATGTTATTTTACATTTGATTACATAGTTTCTGTACATGAAAATCTTAAAACACTGTTTTCAATCGCATCTTTGTTCAGTTGCATTTATTTGTGCTATTGCTAATTTGTTTATTTGTTTACTTGTTTTTAATAATGCTTGAAATTTATTTTAGTTACGCTAGTGTTAAGTGTTCTTTAGCCTGTTGATTTTTATTCATGGCATTCAGCTAAAATAAAATGTTTTGCAATAGGACTTAGAATAAATGTGAATGATATCCCAAGTTTTTTTTTTTTTTACCTTATTGGAATCTAAATTAATAGGAATCGATAAGAATCGGAATCAATAAGCGGAATTGGATTCGAAATCTTTAAAATTCGAATGATACCCAACCCTACCCAGACCCCAGTTTGATGACCCCTTTTCTAACCCCAGCACTTCATTGTTTGCTGCTTTCTGTTTTGATTTCTGTTTTTATTGCATTTGTCATTTACTTTTGTGAAACCGAACAGTGCAAATTTGTTTTGACCTATTTTGAAGGAGAATTGAGAAAGAACTGTTAAAAGTGATGTGTATTGTAACTGGTTGGACATATCAACAAAGACATCCCATTTTATCCACACCAAATTACCCCTCAATATGTATCCCCTTTTTTTAAAATGCCAAAATTCTTGGCCCACATTTGAAATTCTTTAGCTTGCACCGTCTGGACAAACTCAGGTGTCTCCTCCTTACTGATGCACATAAACTGCACCAGCCGCAAAAGTATTTTGCTAAATTTAATGGACTCCATAAAGACTTCATTGAGTCTAACAGATTTACACAGGGCTGATGTCAGACCCCAAGTCTGGTCTCAGTCAGCATGCATTTGCATGCTCTGTCCCTCGGTATGGATCCCTTGAGATTCCTCGAGTCTCCTTCCACTACTCAGACACCAGAGATCCAGCCTCCACGGACAGCAGACTGCTGGGGCACTGAGAGATTCAAGAGGAAATAAAAGGGGCTGGATTGATGAGAACAGGTCCAGATCTCCTCCATAAAGCAGCCAAGATTTCAGCTCGCTGTCTCACCATCGCTGCCACGCTGAATCAGCTCAAATCACGGCTGGATTCGCGGTCGGGCGAAGGGTTTTATGCTGTCGTTAAATCTGGCATTTTGACAACTGAGCAGAGGGGGGTTTATGAAGCTTGCATGCCAAACCCAATATCCTTACATGCATTTTACTTGTTCAACCATAACAGAGGCTTGGAGAACTACATGCATGTCTGGAATCTAGTAACAGCTTTTAGTGAAGGTGCTCTGTTTGTCTCTGTTTTCCAGCAAAAGGATGGCACCTTCGCCGCAGGTGGTTATATGCCACCCCTTCGTTTCAAGAGCATCACTCTTTGCATTGTTTTTGGCACCATGCTGGGCGGCATCCTCATTCCTAATGGTAAGTCTGTGTGTGCTCACGTTTCTCAAGTTTCACTCTCCCTAATACCGTCATGACATCACACCCTTTTAAAGTATCTCTCCGTCAATCACTTGGTACCGTCCATTCATTATCAGCGGAACAGGATGATAAAGATGTGTGTTTTAGGCGATGGTGGGGTGGGCCATGTTTTATTCATTCTTCATGGAGATTGGCTGTCGCTGGTGCGGGCTCCATTTGGCTCAGTGGGCCCAATTAGACTAATAGAGAGGGGAAGGTGAGACTCGCAGAGACGATTGAATGGGGGAAAGGCATAGCTCTGTCCTCCATGACGGCTCCACTGGCCACCGGCGTGTCCTCACGGCCACAAATCCAACCATAGGGAAGCAGACATTGCAGGGCATAAATTTGAGTAAAACAATATGGCTGCTCTCAGGATGAAAAATACCCCCTGGGCCCACTGCCCAGCCTTGCAACACAAGGGCAACATGGAGGAAGGATGGTAGGAGGCAGATAGAGGGATGAGGGGGGAGCGTGTGATGGGACGGGCAGGGGAGAAAGACTGATGGAGGATGGATGTGGTGATTCAGGAGATGAGATGGTGTAGATTGCCTGTGCCATTTTTTTTCCGCTTTAAACTGCCTCCTCATGGTGGGTCTGAATATAGTGCAGGTTGGAATGGATTTTTACACTGAGTAAGATCAGCTTGCCTTGCTGTTGTATTTTGGTTTATATACTAAAGCAATTCGCCATCTAAGGATGCACATTACAGTGATGTGTACAACTGTTAAAGGGTGGTGTTATATCACTTACATTGTGTGTCAAGGTCAGTAAGTTTGAATATCAGATAATATTAAACAAAAATCAGATAATATTACCTTTTTATGTTAAGTTAGTTCAGACTGTCTTTAGAAATATGATATAGGTTTTATATTTACACTACTATTCAAAAGTTTGGGTCAGTAAGATTTTTTTTAAAAGAAATTAATACTTTCATGCAGAAAGGATGCATTCAATTAATCCAAAATTACTGTAAAGGCATTTATAATGTTACAAAAGATTTATACTTTAAATAAATGCTGTTCTTTTGAACTTTATTTTTATCAAAGAATCCTGAAAGACAATGTGTAACAGTGTCCACAAAAATATTCAGCTGCACAACTGTTTTCAACATTGATAATAATGAGAACTGTTTCTTGAGCACCAAATCAGCATATTAGAATGATTTCTGAAGGATCATGTTACGCTGAAAATTCAGCTTTGCCATCACAAGAATAAATTACATTTGAAAGTATATTCAAATAAAAACAGATATTTTATAATGTAGAAATATTTCACAATATTAGTGTTTTTACTTTATATTTTTTATCAAATCTTGGTGAGCATAAGAGACTTCTTTAAAATAAAATCTCAAACCTCAATCTTTTGAATGGTAGTGTATATATTATGTATTTTTTTTAAAAATACTCTTAAAATATTCTTGGAAAATTTGTTTGAATAAAATGATTAACATGTACACTTACATGTCTTCAAAATGTAAAGAAAAATGTTATTGTTGAAAAAAAAAAGAGAGAAAATTTTTAGTTGCACCACCAGAAATTCTAGAAGCCATTTGTAACATTTGAAAGTTTATAGAAAATGTAATGAGCGATACAAAGTAGAAAAGTGAACTAATATTTAACATATTTACTAAAAAGACACTAATGTCCAATGAATAATTACAATTCTTAATTGCAAAATACTTACACAAATAAATTATTCCAAATAATATAGCTCATTATCATTACCTCTGTTTTTTTTTTTTTTTGGTTTTGTAATGAAGCAACTTAATACATTAATATAGAATGCAAATGATGTGTGCATTGGCGATTTTACAGCTTCAAATATGACTTGTCCAATCATATTTTAGAGGCAAATTATTCAATTACTACCAAAAAACAATATTGGTTATATAGTATGATATTTTTTTTATGTTTTTAGATTCTTAATTAGTAGTGCACTCACATTTTTGTGATTACAGAATGATTCTATAAAATAAATGTATGTGTGTGTTTTTGTGCCATAGTGGAGACCATCCTGGGTCTGACTGGAGCCACCATGGGCAGTCTGATCTGCTTCATCTGCCCAGCTCTCATCTACAAGAAGATCATGAAGAACGCCTGGACTGCACAGGTACGGCACACCCGACGTTTCATTTTTTACCCATATGATATATATATTAAAATATGAAACAGTTATTTTAAATTCCTATTAATTTTTCACAATATCACTGTTTTTACTATATTTATTATCAAATAAATGCTGCCGTGTTGACCAATTCAAGACATCTTTCAAAAACATAAAAAAATCTTACCGACATCAAATTTCTGTCTGTGTGAAATCTTATGTGAGCTGAAATAGGAATGCACTGGGATTGCGTGTGAGGAAGAAAAGGCAGCTGCTCTTCTCTCTTTGTAATGGAGTTTGTCATTAATTTTGATATCCTGCAAGTGCATTGACTAGCTGTGTGGAGTCACTCACAGTGTGTGTGCTGGCACTGTCTGGCTCTGTGCCTCGAGCTGTGCCCCCTCCGTCTCCCGCCCAAATTGCAGATGCCTTTGCTCTCTCACAACAGAGTGAAAACAACTGAGGTCTCATCTTAGATGATGTGTAACCACAATGCTGATGTCTCCCTCACCTCTCTTGCATTGTGTGGTTTCCGAGCAGCCGACATACTGTTGTTCATTGTTCTCTAGTGCCAACCATGCCACACTTCCATGCCCATGAGTCTTTGCCACCAGGGTCACTTCCCAAACACTGGAGTTCACCCAAATGGGTGGCGTTTCTGATATTGGGGCGAGGATCATTCCAAAAGAGCTTCTTGTCATAATGAGTGCAGCAGATGTTTGTGTTGGCGTGAGTGTATAATGCCAGTCTTCCATGTCTCATGCCAAGCAGCCTGACATGTCCAGGTCCACTGCAGCACAAAGAATACCCACAGATCAGGGGCAGTGAAACTGGGAAGGGCCTGCTTTAATAGATTTCATCAGCGTTTGGGGCACCATTAATGACTGTAGGACATTATTGTAGATCGGATGCCAACGATACCCTTGCCAGCTTTGTGTATTGAGCGGAGCGGTGCTGCTGCACTGGGACAGTTTAGAGAGCACACACCTCACGCCATGAGCAGGAAGCGCAGCAGAAGTGGAGTATCCTTGAGCAAAGGAGGGGGGAAAACGAATACATCCTTCCCATTTTCAGTGAGGTCAAGCACTTGAACAAACTTTTGATTTTATCATCTCTAGGGGAAGCTTGACAAGGTGTATGCAAAATACAAGCTGTGGAAAGTCAAAGTGAAGTATGTTAGGTGCACTACAAACATGAGGACTCACGTTGAACGCATTCCAGAGATGAAAGATGTGGATCAAAAACCCACAATCGCAAACATTCTGGTCAGCTAACGCACCAATTTTCTAAACTTCTGGCCAACTCTGAATGGGCGAGGATAATAATTCCATCCATACTTTTTCTAGATCTAGCAAATTTGAATTTGCTAAAAAAAAAAAGAAAAAGATATCTTCTAAAAAAGAAAAAAAACACTTTTATTCATTTCATTTCATTTACCAGTTTTTATCTTTGCAAGTTATTTTTGTATTTTTATAAGTGGGGTAATCATTAAGTAAAACTTTACCTATACCTATAATAATTTCCTAATACATTGAATACCTGTTAGTGTACATGTCTTAATTATATTCGTTAGTTTTCAAAGTAAACTTATTTTTTTAATATGGATTTTTTGGAGGGAATTTCATTTGACTACATGGACATATCAACATAAAACAGTCAAATTGTCTATTTATATTTAACATTTAACAGATATTTATATATTAAACTTTCTAAAACTCTGATAATAATTTCCAGTATTGTTTTTTCATCCACATAGCAACGTTTTGAATTATATCAGAAATTGAAAAAAATATTCATCAAAGGCAAGGTGTATTAAGTCCTTGTCTGTATAAATTGTATTTTTATTATATTTTTGAGTGCATTTAATAGAGCCTGACAATAAAAAAGAAGACAAATCTTAATCACAGCATTGATCTTTTACTGAAGTATTTCAGATGACCATATACACTAACTCTCTTTTCTCTCTTCATTCCTCTCTTTCTGTTTTAGCTGGTTCTGTGGGTCGGTCTCGGTATCCTGCTCATCAGTACCTTCACCACGCTGTCCATTTCCTCCAACGAGCCGCAGAAATTAAACCCCCCTCTGGATGTCCCCGCAAGAACTGAGGACAAGCTTCCTATACTCATACCCCACGAGTTGCCCAAAGTACCAGGTACATCTATTCCTACTATTTATGGAGAGAGAGTTATAATCAGTTGAAAAATTATGTTCAAAAACATAAAAAAATCTTACCGACATCAAATTTCTGTCTGTGTGAAATCTTATGTGAGCTGAAATAGGAATGCACTGGAAATAGGTACATCTATTCCTACTATTTATGGAGAGAGAGTTATAATCAGTTGAAAAATGGTACAAAATAGAAAATGAAGCTCTGAAAAGATGAGTTATAATGAGAAAAAAGAGAAAGAATTGTGAAGGAGCACAAATGAATAGCTCCAGTAGAAGGCCTCTGTTTGAATCAGTGACCTGCATGACGCCCTTCAAACCTGAGTGCTCGGTGTCCCAGAGCAGCAGTGAAACGGCCGGTGGCGTTTTCCCGTTATGGCTCCGGTCAGGGGAAAGATGGGAGGGCGTCCAAATCTGGGAGAGGGCAGAAACGACAGTGTTCCCTCCAACACATGCTGATACAGGACAGAGGCTCGTAAAAAGGCACATACCAGGAGCGTCCCAACAACTTCATCCACCATTACCTCTCCTTTTCTGTTCTGCCACTCCTCCTTCCTCTCCCTCTCACTCCCTCCTGCTGACTGACACTGGCATTTATCATTGAGCGGACACCCACTTCCACACCTGTTTCCTGTTTACAGCGTGCTGTTGAGGGCAGCTGTATGAAAACGCAGGGCTCAGCGAGCGAGTGGAACATGGGGCCCGCGGGCATGTAGAGGTGTGCGTTTGCAGCTGTACGAGTACACACAGGCACGCTTTGCTTTTCAGGATTGTAGGGAAGTGCACCCAACCCCCTTTACTATACGCTCGCTCTTTCTTTTCAACTCCCTTCTTCTTGTCTCGCTCCCTTAGATAATGTTTATCAAGACTGCTATCCTTTCTCATTTGAAATGTGTAACTCCTTTCTGCATATGCATAAATGCTGTCGTGCAATAGATTATCTGTTCGGTAGTGCACTCCGGTTAAAGAAAGGTGTGGACATTGTAAATATTCAAAGGCTGTTTTGCACAGGATGAGTGGCAAGGTTATATGGAAAGCATTGAGCATCCATCTCGTACCCTTATTAGAAATCTTTACGGTTCTGCTCGTATCCTGTTGGTCTTTCATGCTCTGCTGCCCTCTACTGGTATTTGTGTAGTGCACTCTGGGATTTTTAAGAGTGGGCTGCAGCTGAAAAGCATGCACATATTTTAGTTTCAGGCTTCTTGCTATGACTTGGAGTAAAAAGAATATTGCATATGACAGTGGTACTCAGCCTTAGCCAGGTTAATATACAAGTTCTTTGGTTTGAGAGACTCACATTTGTATAAAGCCTTGTTAATGTGCACAAATTAAAATTGACCCTATTTATTTTTTAATACACATTCATTGTCTTATTGTGAAATGCTATTCCAAAGAAAAAATATAGTTTATTATTTAGTATTACCTTTCTCTGAAGCGGCTTTACTTTTTGACTCATGTCACCAAACCCTCTAATTCGTCAATTCTATATACACTACCATTAAAAAAAATGTAGGGTCTGTAAGATTTTTTTTTTTTTTTTTTTAAGAAGTCTATTATTCTCTCCAAGGCAGCTCTTATTTGGTGAAACATTCAGTAAAAACGGCAATATTATTTTGCTTATTTGTTTATTTTATCAGGGACAATACACATTAATAATACATGACAATATGTAAAATGTGCTAGATTCCCTTGTGAAATATTTAAAAACAAATTTTAAATACTTCTCTATTTTAATATATTTTTAAATGTGGTTTATTCCTGTAATGGCAAAGCTGAATTTTCAGCAGCAAGTACTCTATTCTTCAGTTTCACATGGTCACATGGTCAGAAATCATCAATCAAAGAACCAAAAACAAACAAACTTTGAAGAGCTACGTGAAGAGCCACATGCCACATCATTAAAGAGCCACGTGAAGCCTGAGAGCCATAGGTTGATAACATTGGGTATGGGATCATTTTGACATGCCTTTTACCTTGCACAGAAATCTGAAACATTTTTATATATGTTTTTTGCACATTGTGACATCTAGTTTGTCTGTCTGTTTCTAATGCAAGAGAATGGAGTGGATCCTCACCCAGGAGAGAAGCCAGATAGGCCCCCGATAGAGATTGAACAGCCAGCAGAGCAGAAAGCAGCAGAACCCCCTCAAATTAAAGTACCTGTGGAAGTGGCCGAGGGAAAGAATGAGGAGAAAGAGGTTCAGCTGGATCGCCCTGGAGCGGGTAATGCATTTAGCTTTGTAATATTGCTGGCTTTATGAACATCTGAGCAGTTAAGAGTTATGACTTCTCTTCTACAGGTGTAGCGGTCCCAGAAGGGGAAGCCCACCGCCATGAGCCGCCCATCCCTCATGACAGAGTTCAGATAGATGAGATCAAAAACCAGGAGGAGCTAGAGGATGAAAAGAAACAACCTGTAGCTGTGGAGGAAGAAAGGAAACTACCTACCAGAGAGGAGGAGGAGATTCTTGCTGAGCAGGGGGCAGGGCAAGCACAAGACTTAGGGCAGGAATCTATAAAAGAGGAGGAGTCAAAAGAAAAAATAGATGTGGTGAAAAGGTTTGCAAATCAAGACCAGCTTGCATCTAATAAAGTATTGGACAAGGCAGAAAATCCAGAAGATCTGAAGAAGGTTGAGTCCTTAGTGGTACATAAAGAACCAGAAAACCTGCCTGAAGTGAATGAAAAGCATGATGAGAATGAATTGGCCAGAGACAAGATACCAGAGGAGATTGAGAAAGCCCTTGAACCCCAGGATGAGAAACGTGAGTGAACACATTAGCATCTCCTTAACAACTCTCCCAGATCTTCATAAATGTAAACATCTAGTTTCTGTTTAGCGTACATGACTGATAAACTATTAAGTAGTAGTCTTTGACCTTTTGTATTTATTCATATTCTGATTATATGGCACATCATAAGGTCCAAGCTAATTATTTGTTCATTCATTGACTGCTTCCTCCAGCGAAGGAGAAGCTTCTTGTGCAGGAGCACAAGGAAGAGAAGGTTCCAGATGGAAAGGATGGAGGAGCAAACAAGGATGGAGATGGGGACAAGATGGAAGGTAAGTGCTTTATCCATCACAGAACATTGTCCATAAGCTATAGGAAGTGTGGTTTGAAATAGGATTGAAAAATAGTGGTTCCTATTCTATTATTCAGTCAGATGTGTGAGCTCACAGTTGCAATTTTCCATTCTCTTTTTCTGGTTCTGTTATCCTTCACAACTCCTGGCCAGTTGGTTTCTACCCTTGTTTCTTAGTGGGAAATGGACAATGTACTTTTTTTGTTTATCGTTACACAATATCTAAGATTCATAATATTCATAATTCATATATATATATATATATATATATAAACTCCTTTACCCATGACTTAGTAGGATACAACACAAGATCATTTTATTAAGCAAATTCATTTTATTCAATCCATACACTAGAAAGTAGTATTTGATATGTGAACCTATCTTGCTCTTTTTCTTTTCTAAGTAATTGTTTTATTTTCTCTATTTTCTCTGGCCGACATCTGAACTGTCACATTGCATTGCTATGCTCAGATATACTGCAAGGACGCACCAAATCTTAAATCTGTCTCTTTCACGTGGCTTGTTTTTTATTAAGGCACTTTGCACTCTTTCTGCTGTCTTTTTCTCTTTTGTTTCTCGATTTCTTATCTTCCTCCACCATTCTGTTGTGCCACGGACTCCTGCCTCCTACAGTGATTAAAAAGATTGTTGCAGGTACGAGATGATGTGTCTTATATCTGCTGTTCTCAGTTCATTCAGTCTGTCATCTTTGTTATTATTTTTAAGTCATTCTCTCACACTACAATCATAACTGTTAATAATAGTTTATTAGTCTGTTAATAACAGTTTATAGTCTGTTACCTGTGTTTATACATTGACCATTATTCATCTAGTTTACTGTATATAGCCGCTTTTCCACCATCGGGCCCGGCCAAACCATTCTCTTTGCTTAACCGTTCCATTCCGTGCCGATCCAGGCCAGCCGGTACCGTACAGATATGGTTTCATTTTTCACTGTGGTGCTGATAACAGAACTCTTCGGAATGTAATACAAATGTGTCAGTCATTGCCTTGGTAACACAAGAGTTTACAGACATTGGGTCTCATTCATGAAACATTCGTAAATATACGAGTAAATATGAGAGTGATTTGCGCGTAAAGAGACCTTCCCGAAAACTCATCTCCTGATTCACAAATACTTCGTAAATGTCAGATGTGATATTGAAATGTGTGTGTGTGTTAATGAATTCCAATCAGTCGTAAATGGGACGCGCGTGCACGCTCATTCTCAATTACCATAAATCCCGCCCATTAAATCCGACTGACAACTATATATGGGCATCATATTATGACACGAAACAAAGGATTTCAACATGTCTTCTCAAAAACGAATGAAAAAGAAAAATTTCTCAGATGCAGAAATCAAAGTTTTATTATCAGAAGTTCATTCAAAACACCACATTTTATTTTCAAGCGTAGGCTACATGGCGTATCAGGTCCTAAAAAAAGGAAGTTTGGCAGCATATTACAGATGCAGTTAATGGAGTTTCATCTGTTAATCAAACAGTCCCAGAAGTAAAAAGAAAAACCATATGTAATTACTATATATAATATTTTTTCAAAATGCTGTGTAAATATGTACCCGATTAAGGTGAATTAAAATGCAGCCTTAGCTATTAATGAGCAAAACGTTCGGATGTTAAACTCACTATTTACGCGTGGCTGGGAGCAGGTGTAGATTTCTTTCGTACCAACTAACATTTGGAAAATACGAACATTTTAATGAATCCGAAAATTTACGCCAGAACCACTTTACACACGATTTACACAAAAATTCGTTCTGCTCGTGTTTCATGAATGAGACCCAATATGAGAGAATAGCGACCGTTATGGAGGATGATCAGATATTTCTTTTAATTTTATTATTAATTTGTGTTTATATTGCTCAAATAGTGCACAGAGAAATTGGTAGCCAGGCAACAGACAAGTGACCAACCGTGCTGAAAGTTCCGGGCCGAGAACGGTTTGTAATCATGTCGTGCTGTACCAGGCTCAAGTGGAAATACAACTGGAACCAGTCCTTACTGTTCTTAGAACCGTTCGGCCCGACGCTGGAAAAGCGGCTTATGTGTGTATAGTGTTCTATAGCCCTGGAAGTACAACTGTCTCTTGTTTTATGATGAAAATGGTTTATTTGGTAGAATTCCATATTGATGTTGTTAGGATTCCATATTGCCTAGCAATGTCTTAGCACATGCATAGAACCATCCCTAGTAACTATCTAGCAACACTGGCAAGCAGTGCACTAAAAATCCCACAGAACAACACAGCAATCGCCTAGCAGCCACCTAACAATGCACTACTAACTGCATAGAAACACCCTAGCAACAACCTAGAAGAACTTAACAATACGCTTGAGATTCAGAACACCTTGTTTTGAATATTGCTTATAAGTTATCAGGCCAACTACATCATCACGGCGGCAGGTTTTGTATAGGCATTCACCACTAACATTTTCTTAAGTAAAATTAAAAAGTTTTCATTTGATAAACTATCAGACTGACAATTGTTTTGGCCATGGATAATTACATTGTGATTATATTCAAAGGATTTTCAATTTTAAATACAATTTGAATAATCACATTTTTAAGTATTATTGTATATTTTAAGGCATGTTGGATCATTGTTTCTTCTCTTTTTCCTTTCTGTTTGACTGATCCTCAGAGGGTCAGTTGGACCATGCTATGCTGCTGCAGGTCATTAAGGTGCAGCAACAACAGCAGAAAAGGCTTCTGGACCAACAGGAAAAACTTCTGGCGGTGATTGAGGAGCAACACAAGGAGATCCACCAAATTAAGGACGGAGAAGAAGAACCAAAGGCAGTAGAACAGCAGAAAAGACATGTGGACCTGGAGGAAAAACATGAGGAGGTCCATCAAGTAAAGGAAGGAGAAGCTGAACCAAAGGCAGCAGCCGGTTAGTCTCTAAAAGTCAGATAATGATCCTGTTTACAACCACGCCAGTATCCTGATAACTCACAAAAATTAGCTTATTGAAATAATTTGTTGTTTACATGAAAACCAATAACCAGACAACGCAACTAAACCGCCTTTACAAGACTTCAGGTTAAATCAGGTTATAAATCAGGTTATTTCCCAGTAGTGACGTCAAAACTTAATTTGTGTATCTGACTCAGAGCATGTCATTTGTTATGTCGGTTGTGATGTTAAATAAAGCATTAAAAAGAGTATTGCAATGTCAGCTGGAAACTTACGGCTCAAATATTATCCTCTCGTGCAGTTACAGATGCAGCATTTTGACTGTACCACTTCTGCTGCTGCTGCACGAGATTTCAAGAAAAGATTGTGATCAAAAAAAGAGTTGCTCTGTCTGGATGCGTTCCGGTCACGTATCACACATGCGCATTTCAACAAGCCAACAGAACGCTGGTTAATGTGTTTACATGATGGGTGAAATTGCCGTAAGGGGCAAAAATCTAGCTGTGATGATAGGTTTATGCATAAGCCTTTTATGACCTTACTCTGATAAAAGAAAACTTGTTAATGCGGTTACACGATCACGTGCATTGCCGGCTTATTAAGCTAAATCTAGTTAAGAATGTGCATGTAAATGCATTCATTGTTACATACTGGTGGTACCAATACAAACACAGCTCTTCTCAAATGTATTTGTGGCCCTGGTCATGTAGTAAAAAATAAAAAGAGAATGAGCAGTATTGGTGCTCCCTTCTGAAGTGATTTTGCATGCAGTGCAGTAATGAAACACATCATGTCTTTTGTAGGAGAGGGCGCAGGTGAGGTGGAGAGTGTTGTGCAGAGGCAGCTGGAAGGGATGGCGGGGTCAGTGAAGCCTAAAGTTGCCGCTGTCGTTTCGGCCCAATTGCAACAGCCCCAGGGGGATTCGGTTCCTGAGGACCCAGCAGCAAAAGAGGCTCATGTTGTAGCCGGTCTTCCCCACAATGCCCTTGAATCTGTGCAAGAAGGAGGTGTTGAAGTTCTCAAGAAGGAGCTGGAGCTGAAAAACCAAGCAGGGCAAGGCGAAGCAGTACCTGCAGAGGTCGATGGCCAAGGTGTTCCGCTGCACCAACGAGAACCAGAACCACCCAAAATCAATCCTGACGCTTTTGCTGAGGAGCAGAGATTGAATCAGAAACTGGCCCAACTGGAGGCGGAGAAGGAGAGAATAGAGAAAGACAAGTTGGATAAGGAAAGGATTGAGAAGGAGGTGCAGGCCCGTGTTGAGAAGGAGAGGAAGGAGCGGGAAAGACGAGAGGAACTGGCACGCGAGCAGGAGCTAGAACACGTGCGGCAGCAAAAGGAACAGCTAGAGAAGGAAAGGCTTGAAGCAGAGAGGTTAAAACAGGAACAAGAGAAGATGGATAAAGAGATCATGGACCGCGCCGAGAAGGAGAAAAGATTGCTCGAGCACAAGGAACGGCTAGACCAGATGCAACAGGTCATTGATGCGCGACGTGAGCGGCAGGAGAAGGAGCGGCGGGACAAGGGAAGTCTCGAGGATGAGAGTTTAAAACGGGAACGAGAGAAGACGGATAAGGAGATCGTGGAACGTGCCGAGAAGGAGAAAAGAATCCTTGAGCAGAAGGAACAACTAGACCAACTACAGCAGGTCATTGACTCGAAGAAAGAGCAAGGTGCACCCAAAGCAGAACTCCCGCCGATGCCTAAGCAAAAAGGAGGCAGGGACTTGAAGGAGAATATAGAGGAAAAGAGGAGTGGAGAGAATGACCTTAGGAGGAGGCGCAGAGCTGTGGACCCTGAGGGTGGAGGAGGTGCTGACCTGGATCTTCTGCGGGACGTAGGAGGTTTAGACTTAAACGCTGACCTAAAGGGACAGCTGCTGGCAGGGTCTCTGGTTCACACACGCCAGCTTAAACAGACGTTTCAAAGGCAGGAGAATGAAGATGTTCTGGAATGACAACCTCTGGAACCACATGGACCTCTCAAATGGACGTGCCGACAAAGTGATCTGGCTGTGAGAAGAATCTCTTTCCTCCTCATTTTAAAAGTAGACACAATATTCCTTTTGGGTTCATGATGACAGTGGGCACTTTGATGTGATCCTTTAGTTGTCCGCCGGGAACACTGAATCCATAGTCCCTTATGAGCTTCCATTATTGTTTTGTGTGAGATTTTGCTGAATCTGGTGCAATAAACAGAATGTCTGGTGTAATAAACTGAGCGGGCATCACATTAAAAATGGGCCTTGATGGGCACGCAGGGCATTTAAGAATATTGTGTTTTGGACCATCGCATAGGAAGGAAAACGGCACAAGTGTACCCCCTTGTGTCTGCTATGGTAAATTATTTACTTATTGCATACTTACTTCTAAGAATGAAAATAGAAGCCAGAAACTTCCGTCGGCTTTACAATTAATATGAGGTGAGTTTTAAAAAAAATCTTTTATCTTTGTAGGACCTGATTTTTATTTTTTCTAGGAGCTATTGGACCATTTACTGTGCCTTAGTGTTTTCAATCTGCTATTCTGTATTTTGAATATGGAGTGTTAATGTTACCTTGGCCAATATGTTCAGTGGTCAGTCTGATTGGTAAAAATAAGTTTCTTATCTGAGACTACAGTCACTGACTTATTTGTTTTTCCAGTGTACCTTGTTAAGTCCAGTAAGAGACTTCCTTAATGGGTTTCAGAAAAATCCTGAAAATAATATTTTCTTTCATATTCATCCAAAGTCCTTTTTGAAACCTATTTTGATCACATTTTTTAAGTTCTTTCTCTTTTTAATGCAATCAAATGTAAGCCTTTTAAAGGAGTGTCTTTCTATGTGGGTCTGCTGCAGTATCAGATTTTTCTTCCAAAGAGTTAACTTATGATAATTAATAGTATATTTAAAAGTTAACTACATTGTTAAGTTAACTGTTACATCTAATAGTTAGTCAAACCAGCTATAAGTGAATGAAGTATGAGAATCGCTGATGTTCCGACTGATGCAAAATGTCTGATTTATTGCTAGCCGACTAAAATTATTGTGCGTATTGTTTTTCTCTTTTGATTTGTTTCAGTGTGTTTATCACTTTATGAAAGTACTCAACTCTCATCTTTTGAGGTTTGTCTGAATTTGGACCATATAGATTCTTGGTAACTGTTTCCCACAGTCAATTATTTGTTTTCACTGTGCAATGGATTTCTTTTAAGGGTTGCATTGCTTTGTTGTTCTACATTCCATATATTTGCCTATGAAGATGTGATTCTTATCAGTGCCTCATGCGTTTATGTTCTGCAGTGATGTGTATGTGAAGTCTGTTACACCCACACTGTGTGTGGATTGCGTCTTTTTTCCCCCAACTGCATTTCTTTTATTATACCTTGCTGGTTAAACTAATCATGGTAATTGATTATTCTTTTGATAAATTTCCTGATCTCGCTTTCTAGGGATCTTACATTTTATATTTCAAAAGAGCAAATATATATAGAGAGAGAGAGAGATATGGTTTGAAATCCTAAGAGATTAATGGAATGCTGCCTTCTCAGCTTACTTATCCATGTACAGGTGTTCAAAAGTTAAATGTTAGCAGATTTCAGGAGTTGATAACTGTTTGGCCTAAACCATTTTAGTTTGGTCTTTTGGGTGAAAATTGGGTTAAATTAATAAAATGATTTGCAGAATTTCTATACAAAATGTTCTTTGTGTTCAAGTTATTATATATTATACGTACAAATTATTTCTATTATCTTTCCCCCTCAAGTTTAGGATTTTAGGTTACATTTTATAGTGAATAGTACACTTTTCAAACTTTTTTGTGCAGTTCATTTAAAGGGATAGTTCACCCAAAAATGAAAGTTCTGTCATCATTTACTCATTCTCAAGTGGTCTGTATGAATTTCTTTCTTCAGCTGAACACACAAAAAAAGATATTTTGAATAATGTAGTTAACCAAAAAGTTGATGGGGCCCATTGACCAAAAAAAAAAAAAAAAAACTCAGGAAGTCAGTGGGCCCCAGCAACTGTTTGGTTACCCGCATTCATCAAAATATCTTCTTTTCTGTTCAGCAGAAGAAAGAAAAGCAGGTTTGGAACAACTTGAGGGTGAGTAAATGATCTATCCATTTAAACAGTCCTGCACTGTGACAAACTATTTTTGGAATGCACAATATCCTGTTTAGTCTCTCAATTAATATGATGTCATAAATATGGCATGCTTGATGACTATAAAAGAATTTGAAATGTTTAAAACGTTGTTGCTGTCCCTGGTTGATTTGCCATGTCAAGTACTGGCATGATAAGCAGAGGTGGACAGTAACAAAGTACATTTACTTGAGTTACTGTAGTGTACTTAAGAGTACACTTTTTGAGTATCTGTGCTTTACTTGAGTATTATTTTTTATGGAAACTTTTTACTTTAAGGCCAGACACTACAGGCAGAAACAGTGTTTTTTCATGCATCTCTCAATTTTGAGATTTTTGGCTTTAAAAAAAGAAAAAGAGTTTTTTCTCCTACATTGAGCCAGAAATCTCCACTTCAGTAACACTTACATACACCAAACTTTACAGTTTTATTATTATCCATATTATGAATATTATTATGATTCCTAAACAAATGGAGAAAATTAAATTATTTTCAGCTGTTGACAGTATTTTCTGATTTGTAGAGTGATAAACAGAGATATCCAATATCCCCTCAGTAAAAACCTTTGGCTCTAATATATCAAATAAATGAAACGATAATTTGTAACCTGACTTCATCCAATGTTCAGATTTTTGTTCTAGTGTATGTATGCAAATTAGTCATATTTAATTAGACAACGCCTCATTCGCATATATAGACGTAAAATTTGTAATACAAAAAACAAATGTTTGCTATTATTAATGTAATCAATCAACTGGTGAAGTAAGGTGATATTTATTAGGGTTTTTTTTTTTACCCTATTCACCTGGGGTGTCTCGCCTTAACTTCACTACATTTGAAAGACAAATATCATACTTTTTAACTCCACTACATTTCTGTCAAGTTTCTTGAGTAGAAAGTAGTAACGTCAGTCAGGGGATGATATTGCATTTTGGTTGGAAATGAAAGTCGGGTTGACGTCAGAACCCGACTGATGTTGGTACAACGTCTGTCCAAAACTGGAGATTAACATCAATCTGATGTTGGATTCTGATATCAACCTGATTTTCATTTTCAACGTTGGGTTTGGTCTTCTAAATGCAAATTTTGTCATTGTTTTGGAGCACACTAGCTTATAGATAACAGTAAGGCTAACATATTCATACTAAAAGCCAAAAAACTTTAAATGGGGCACTATTTAAGGGAACAGCCATTTGGGTGTCCGAAACCATTGTGTATGTTATTGAGTGCACACACTCACATTCAATCCCACTACTGGAACTGTGTTCTAGTAATAAATTTGATATTGATATGAGGGTAGGCAGGCATATATTCAAAGGCATAAGATACTGCATACAACAATGTAACAATAATAAAACAATGCATTGGCATTTACTTTTGATACTTAAGTACTTTTAAAAACGAGTACTTCTGTACTTTTACTTAAGTAAAAATCGGTCTTTACAACTTTTACTTGTAACGGAGTAATATTTGACCAGTATCTGTACTTTCACTCAAGTAAGGAAGTTGTGTACTTTGTCCACCTCTGATGATAAAGGACAACATGTGCTTCTTTAATGCTCAATGTGCACAGAACTGATTGTCTGCATAAGTTCCCCAGCCTAAACCTTTCGATTTTATAGCCAATTTGGACCAAACACAACCGTTTCCAAAGGACCATTCTCTTTCAATTAACACCTTAGAGCACTGAAAATGTGCGAATGAAGCCCATATGAAGGAAGGCCACAAACACTGATTGTGACTAAGCTAAAGCATAACCTGTAGCATGTGTTTTCTTATAGATATACAGGTCATTGCTTTGCTTGAAACATTTTTTTAATACCGGAGCCATTCTTCGTTTGTTGATCCCCAGTCATTAGTGGCTGCCTTTATGGCCCTTCTATCAATTAACATGTGGCTAATGAGGGTGCGGGTTGTGCAGGAAGGGTGTATTTAACAGTGGCACAGCTTTACATTCCATACGAGACGACTAAGAGCCCATAATCTTTTGTGGTGCCAGTGACATACACCCCACGGATACACATTAATCAGCTGGCCTTTCATGTTTCAGCCTGCTTTTGTTTGATTGGAAACAAACCCCTTAAAACCGCCATCCTAGATTTCAGGAGCGAGGCCAAATTTGGAGCCTGACTGGAGTGCTGATCTGCAATCGGCGGTCAAGGGCGTGATAATGACCACCCATCACGCAACACCTCATATCTCATTTCTCATTCTGACAATTACACACTCCAAACAACACACAGCGTCTGGTTATCATTAGTCTGCCTCTTTTATCCCAATTCTGATATATTGATATGTGAAAACAGCAAAGTAATGATGCAGATGGTGATATAATTCAGTCTAAACTGCCTCTATATATTATATTGTAACGATATGTCTGAACAAAGGAAGAGAATTATGATTCCACGTTTTTATGCAAAAAATGTATTGTGGTTTTGTGCACAATACAATTATCCATTTGAAACACATTATTAATATATCTGTGTGTATTTACAGAGCGAGATATGACAAAAGCAACTATGAAAGAAGATATTCATCACCAGAAATGTTTTACTGGCTAATTAATTCAAATGATCTCCAACGTTGTCAAGGTTAACATGATATTTATTCATGATGTTGTTCACTTTACTCCCGTTTTCGCCTGCAAATATAAAACAATTAGTTAGGAAAAGCCAACAAAATATATTATATACATAAAAAATTTAATATTACAATATCTAGACAGAATATTTATAAACATTAATATAAAATTTGTAATTTACATTGATGCATATATCTGTGTTCTACTTGCATTCCATTCAAGGTTGCATGCATTCCCTGGGAATCAAACCTATGACCTTGGTGTTTGAGCTACAAAAATTTAATTATTATTAAAGTATAGAATAATTTAAATACTACTTTATGATACTTTATAATCGTAAACATTGTTTTCTGATTAATGTCTCTAATGTAGGTTTGTGTGAACTGGATACTTGTCAAAAAATACTTGTCTATATGCAGCATAATCACAATAAAACACTCACAGCAGATTGAAAGCAGCTTCTCAGTGCTTCAAATTCTTTGAGACACATGTTTTTGGTCAGCTCCTGTTTTCCAGTGGTTGTGGCGGCAACACATTTCCCATAAGCAGCTGCCTAATAATATAATATAGAAAAACAGACCGCTTTACAAAACGATAATAGAATGCATCTATCTATGTACCTATCTATCTATCATGCGAATCTACCAAAGCTGCTCTATTGGATTGAGATCTGGTGACTGTGGAGGCCATTTGAGTATAGTGAACCAAAGTGAACTCATTATCAAGTTCAACCAGTTTGAGATGATTTGAGCTTTGTGACATGGAGCATTATCCTGCTGGAAGTAGCCATCAGAAGATGGGTACACTGTGGTCATAAAGGGATGGACATGGACAGCAACAATACTCAGGAAGGCTGTGGTGTTTAAACGATGCTCAACTGGTACTAAGGGGCCTAAAGTGTGCCAAGAAAATATTTGAAACACCTTTACGTAAAATGCTGACCCTACCATTTGAATGTCGCTGCAGAAATCAAGACTCATCAGAGAAGGCACATTTTTTTACAATCTTCTATTGTCCAATTTTGGTGAGCCTGTGCGAATTGAAGCCTCAGTTTACTGTTCTTAGCTGAGTCTATGTACCTTATAAAGCGGCCGGTGAGTGTGTGTATATAATATTATATATATAATATATATATATATATATATATATATATATATATATATATATATATGCACACACACACACGCGCGCATGACAATACTTATTAAACTAATAAGGAATACTAAATGAACGTGTACCTCTCCTGAGCACTGAGCCAACAGCTCTGGGAAGAGTCTCATTCTCGCTCTGCTGCGAGTCCAAACATTTGAACCAGACATAGTTCAAAGACTTGAAAACAATCCTTTAAATGGCAGCAAAATAACACTTTGGTGTGTCGAAGTTCATTTAAAATCTATGAGACCCATCATAGTTATTCACAAAAGTCCTACACAGAGATTTATGTAGTGTGTATATTCAACATGGACAGCGCCATTCTGTTGACCTCTGAGATAACGTGTGTAAACCTCCCATTGACGAGTAATTGGCCAATCAAAGCGTTAATATGGAACCAGAAATATCTTCGCTGATTTCTGATTGGCTGATTTTTCTGTTGTAGTTTCCTGCGTCTGGTGAAGAGCCAATGGTAACATGCGTTGATTTCAAAGACATTTTCAGGATGGTCAAAAAATCCACTCCAGATTAACTTCCGTATCCAGTCACGTGTTCTTTATGACCGCGTTCGATTGGCTACAACCACATTTCCGCGAACGAATCGATTGCATTGAACAGATCTTTTCAAAGGAGTCATTCAAATATTTCTGAACTTGTTCAACTTTTTCACTGAAAAGATTCGATTCATAAACCGGACAGCGCTGTGTCAAGTCAGAGTGGGCGAGCTAAACAGAGGTCCGTATGATTGAGGATATTCTCGGGCAGGCAGGATCCGCACGGTCACCCGCCCTGTGAGCAATGGTACATAGACCAGCGAAAAAACACAGATTGCTCCATCATGGCTACATTATTGGAACGTTTGATTTTCCTACAAAAAGTACGTATCCGTGGCACCAGGGATATTATGTCATTTCATCTATCTTTTAAGCCAAACCTAGTTTCCTACGTTGTTTACTGTATATCTGGCGTTAGCAGCAGTTGAATAGACTGTATATATCTGCATATAATCGATATTTCTGTTTACAGACACTCAAAAATACACGACCAAAATACCATGGTACTTCCATGGTGTTTTGGACATGTACCGTGGTCATACCATGTTTTATTTACTTGTACCATAGCATCAACTGAGTGCCTATGTTCTATAGTAAAACTAGTGTCATATAATGGAGTGTTAGCCTATAAATACCATGTTACATTCAATGTATATAGTAGTTACGTGCCATGGTATCACTGTACCATGTTAATTTAGAATGTTAATGCACAGTAACGTTACTTCTAAGAATACGATACACATTGTGATATGTATATATAATATATATATATATATATATATATATATATATATACACACACACACACACACACACATACATTTCACATATACAGCGAGTTAAAGTCACCATGAAAGCAAAATTCTTAATTCTATTATAATTGATTTATCTGTGCACATCATTTTTTTTTAATTCATGTGTCCTCATATTCTTTAATCAAAATAATTTTGAAGAACAATAGCGAAGAAAAGACTATTGCAACTTCCATTTCAAACTGACTTTAAAGGTGACTTTGGGAAGAGAGATTTCCTCACCTCTTTTTTTGTGTCTCAGGTGCCAACGCTTATGCGGGCAACATCAGATGACGAATCGCCTTGTCCCGGCTATCTTTTTGAGGAAATCGGCAGTATCCTTTTTGAGGCATTACAGAATAAAGTAGAGTAGGGCAGGATAAAGAATTCTCTGTCATCAGTGGACCTTGACAGTCATGGTAACTAAGAAATTTCCCATGAGTCAGTGGGCTGCTGCCAGTGTCTTCTCGAGTACCTCTTGGAGAGACTACAGGTGGAGTCCTGCCACGTCAAACTTAAGGTGAGATAGAGTGGTGTGGCTCAGTCTTATTTGGTTTGGTAACAAGAAGGTTGTAGGTTCAAACCCTGCAAAGGGTAATTCATGAACTCCCTTCATTGAGCTCAATGTTTTGAAGTATTTTTGATATCTTAAGTTGGTCTGTGGTGATTATTGTGCTTTTAACCCTGTCCAAGGTCCTGAAGATTCTCCTGCATTTATGTGGCCATGGACCACCTCACTTCCTCACAGAGCTACGGCGGAATGCTACATTTATACAGGAAGTAATAGGTAAGCAGGTCTAAACAATTCAAGGTAAACACTGGAACACTTTTTAAAGGAAGTCATATTGGCTGATTCTTAGGAGTCAGTGTACACACATAAAACCCTAATGTTTCAATCATCAAAACCAGAGCATCAGTAACTGGTGAAAATCTTATAATCAAGATGCAGGGATGTTTGCAACGAGATAAATTGAATTGTATTCAATGAGATAAAAATGTAGTGCATTGATTGAGAATTGAGAATTGATTAGATTGTTAAAAGTGGTCTTTGTATTACATGAAAGATGGGACGGATTGGTGAAGTCAGCAAACTTCGGAAGTCGTTTAAAAGCAAAGAAATAATTTATATTTTGATGAAAGTTTGCAAACACATTTTTTCTTTGGAATAACATGCACTCATGAATAAGTAACAACATCAGCAGGAACATACTGTGTGAAAGTTTGCTGTCAGTACATTTTATTTTTAATAGAAATAAATACTTTTATACAGTAAAGACATTAAATTGAGAATCGGTATCAGTAAAGAATTTCATAATGTTACAAAAGATTTCTATTTGAAATAAAAGCTGTTCTTTTGAACTTCATTTTCATCATAGAATTCTGAAAAAAATGTATCACGGTTTCCACAAAAATAATAAGCAGCAGCACAACTGTTTTCATTGATAATAAGAAATGTTTCTTGAGCAGCAAATCAGCATATTATAATTATTTCATTATAATCATGTGACACTGAAAACTGGAGTAATTATTATCAGGAATAAATAAATAACATTTAAAAAACAGTTATTTTAAATTGTAATAATATTTCACAATATTTCTGTTTTTACTGTATTTTCCATATAATAAATGGAGCCTTGGTGAGCATAAAAGACTTCTCATAAGATACTTAGTTTATCTTCTATTACAAAAAGCACACTGACCCCAAACTTTTGAACAGTAAAGTATTTTAAAGAAGTAAATAGATCAAGTTATGTTTATTTGAGTCAATAAAAAGGGTGACTGTATTCTGTCTTTCTTAGTCTACAGCGGCCCCCCGGACCCCATCCATGGAAGTGCTCTTTTTCAGAAAGTCAGAAGCTCGGCACAGGTAAAACAATATCATTGACCCATTAAACTCCAGTTAAGTTCTTTTTGTAGTCTTTTATGTTGACCTTCTGTTTATTACTTTACTTTAATATATGTTTTACAGTTTATGGTATATATAGAAAACAACCATAGATGCACTTCTATTCATAAAGAATATGAAATATATAATTAATACAGCAAGCATTCACTCTTCTGTCTATTTGTTGTTTGTTTCTTGTTATGTCTGAATTGAGCCAGCATTTGTTTCTATACAGGAGTTGGCTAGCCTACTATTTAATGATACCATGTCCTCAGATTCTGGACTGTCTCAACACAAAAAACTGACACATTCTGTGGGTGAGTGCTGTTTTGGTATTTTCACCATATTATGCTTTTTTTGTTTTTATTTTGGAGGTCTTCTACAATAGGTTTATATCAATACAAGGTCAAAAAACACTTTTATTTTCTCATAATATACATTTCAGCATCACCTTTTTTATCACAATGTCCGAAACCAATGTCTGGTTCGATCAAGGATCCGGTCTGTCTAAACCCCTCTGCTATGATTGGTCAGATGACCCAGTCTGTTGTGATTGGTCTAGCGCACGTCGGAAACCAAACGCCTATTGCCATATCTGAATTTCAGCTGCAGAGGCTTCCTCAGAGCACGATACACAGTGATACAAACGGTAACAATGGCGTCAGTTTCATCGTATCAATTCGACCGTGAGTCCTCAGTGACTGCAATGTGGATCTTCTTGACATATCAAAAGCACAAACTAAACTCTTTCCAGCATCAGCTACAACTACAGTGTTTGAAGGCGGGTCAAAGCAGACACTGTTCACGGGCAGCCGATGAAGACCATTGGCTGGCATTATGCAAATGTGTTACAAACCTACGGAGGTTCGAGCTGGAAGACTGGAATTACTGACGACTCGTTTCAGACAGTTCACAATCGGTTCTTTCTTTTGGGAGACATTAACTCCATTTATCCTGGACTTTGATCTTTTAAACTTTGCAGACATTTTACATTCCCAAACAGCTTTATAACACAACATAAAAGGTATTATCCGAAAAAGTATAATAGGTATACTTTAATATGTTAAAAAATGTTAAATAGGCATAGTATGTAAATAATACCAAGATTTCTGTTTGCAGGAATGGGCTCAGAGTCGCACAGGTCTGGCATGCAGGGGTTTGGATACAGCCCAGGAAGGAAAGAGTCCAGTAAGACACAGACATTTAATGTTATTCATCCAAGTCCTGAGCTCAACACTAATATTTACAACTGGAAGGCATTCTGGTGTGTGTCTTGCCTCTTTTCCCTCTCTCGTTCAGGTGGAGGCACTCTATTGGACAAGATTCAGAAAGCTGCCGAGGTGGTTGCCAGCGCTGTCCTTCCTCCAACAGAGCATCCTGGCATCCGTCTCCATGAAAACCACTACCACGCTGTGGTGGCGCCCTCTGCTACTGTGGAGATGGCAGTGCCAGCATGTGCCTACAACATCCCATCCCACGGCCACAGAGGTGAGCCATGCACCAGGTTATAAAAGCAGTGCATGTTAATAGTTTCAAAGAAATGAGCATTTCTCCTTCTCTTAGCATCCCACAGGTCTCCAGGGCATGCTGGTGGAGGCTGGGAGGAAACGGACAGTGGGCACAGCTCGTCCCAGGAGACTGCGGAAGCCAGCCAGGCCTCGCTGGGAAGAAGCAGTAAGTCGGGCAGCCACTCCGGGGCGAGTCGGGAGAGTGGGGACCTATCGGAACGGTAAGGGACAGACTGCTACAGGGCTTCTGTTCTTAATGGTGGTGAACACACATTGCTTTCTCAAGTGTTTGAGGTCATTAACGCCAGGTCATTGCATCACCAAGGGGCATTTTAATCCTGGCATCTCATTTCCAGAACTAAAATAGCAGCATACAGAGTCATGTCAGATGTCATTTGTCATATTTCACACAAAATCACAAAATATAAATGTTATTATTATTAATTTTCTGACCATTGAAACATGACTGATAATTAAGCATAAATACTCATTATCATAATGAATCAGTATGGTTGAGATTTGTTTTTAATTAAAATCTGCATACATTAAAGGCAGTTTAACAAATATTACCAGAAGTCCCTTATGTTCACTGAAGCTGCATTTATTTGAATATATTTCTATTTGAATATATTTTAAAATGTAATTTATTCCTGTGATGTCAAAGCTTCAGCATCATTACTCCAGTCTTCAGTGTCACATGATCCTTGAGAAATAATTCTAAAATTTCTTATATCTTATTATTAATATTTTTTGGGAATTCGTGATACATTTTTTTCAGGATTCTTTGATGTTTAGAAAGTTAAAAAAGAACAGCATTTATTTGACATAGAAATGATTTGTAACATTATATTGTCACTTTTGATCAATTTAATCTTACTGACCCCAAACCTTTGAACAGTACTGTACTTTTTTTTCACATAGTGCTAATAAGAATGAACAAATGGGCATCATGTTCACAAAGCCAAATACAGTACATTCATAATTTTTTTCTTTTGATTAGATTCTTTTGAGGTTTTGCGAGATTCACATATTTATTCTGATAGTTCTCATATTTTAGTATTTGTTCTTTTAAATCAGGGTGGAGGCCATTCAGTTGGGCGACTGTGGTCAGGAGACGGCGCTTATCAACCGACTGACCAATGGATCCAAAGTCTTCCTGTCCAGAGAAGAGAGCCAGTACTTCATCAAAGAGTAAAAAATTCCATATGAGACATGTTCTTGATTTTTTTGGCATCAGTGTTGATCATTACTGATCTGCAATACACCCTTGGATTATAATGTCAGCGTATATAGTTTTCTTTTCACATAATGTCATAGTTAAAATAACTGATGTCTTGCTTCTGTTTTCTTTCAGATGCTCAACTCTCAACTGTGAGGTGGTTGTTGAACTTCTCTCTCGCAGACTTCAGGACCACACACAAATCATCCAGATGGTAATGTTTCCTATTCTGCAACATTTATGCTCAGTATTTTTTTTTTTAAATAAACAAGTTTTCTTTAACTTGTCTGAAACATTTGCTTTGATAACGCACAGCATAACCAATTTGTGTTTGCTTCCCGCAGAGGGCGTTGTGTGCTCTGGCCTGCCTGATGTCTTCAGACTTCCTCTCTCTAGATCATATTTTCAATATCACACACAAACGCCTCGGACAACTTAGTGACGGAACCGCAGGCCCTGTCTCCAACAAGGCAACCAAGGTACCGTCACCAAAACCATCTGTAAATGAGTGGAAGCAGATTATTCAATAATAATAAAGCTAATATTAAAGCTATTATGCTTTTTTACAGTTTTAAAACTTTCTTTAGTGTGTAATGTTGTTCATGAATAAGGTCTGCGAAGTTAAACGGTCCACTCCAAATTCTCTATCCACCTTATTTTTAACTTAAGAGTGGATACGGCCATTTGTAATTTGAATGTGTGAGGCTTCCATTGTCATCCGCTTCCAGTTACTTTAGCTGTACAAAAACAGTCTGTTATGCTGCTTTATACTGCGAAATGGTAATAATAAATTCCCCAAAAATAATTCCCACCCAAGGAATATACAAAAAAAGGGGGCGAGGCCTGGCTAAGTTGCGTTTGTAGTGTGTTGTGTGTTGTTTGAAGTGTTATGGAGCACATCGCGCTTTTCGGAAAGAGGAGCTTCGTTGAGACAGAAACTAAACCGAGTGTTACTGACAGACTGGGAAGAGAGGTGCTGCAACAATGAAAAACTATGTTTTTTGAACATTCAAGCATCAAATCCTACTCTAGTAGATCCCAAAAACAAAATCAAGACTTTGTAAAATGGCATAATATGGCCTCTTTAATAATAATTAATACTAATACAGCTAATATTTACTGATAAGCACAATTGCCCTTGTTCTATCCTCTTGTAATTTTGTGGGACTTACAGATTCTTTTTTTCTTTAGCTCCTAAGGCAGTTTGAGGCCTTGCTTGATTGTGTCACAAATCCCAGGTGTGACCGTGCTGGGCGTCCAACCTTCGCCAGCTCTTCACTTTCAGACCAGCCCTCTGAATCTATGACCATCCCCTTTGTTCCAGGACAACTTGGAGAAATCGCAACCTCGGTTATCCCATCAGAGGAGACCCCATCTACACAATACCCACAGGGTAACAGCGCTGCACCTGGGTCTCATATGACAAGAGAGCAAGAAGAGGGGGGAAACAGAAACACGAACACCTCCAAGATCTCAGAACCACTCAGACTGTCGCTCTTCAGTGGAATGGAGCTAGTGAACAGAAGCAAACCTGTGTGTTTGGTTGAGCCTGTTCCTGTCGAGTCAGACGCCCAGACAAGTGTAGAAGCCACTCCAGGCATAGACTGTGCGAGTGAGAAAAGCTGTGAGAGAACTGCAGGCTCACCCACATCAAGTGAGCAAGTGTCTGCCTTCTCCTTCCTTAATCTCTGATGCCAACTTTCATTTACGGTTGTGTACTGACATGGGGGGAAAAACCCTTCCATTCATGTTCACATGATTCAGCCTATGAGTGATTTCTTCTTGCACAGAATCAGCTTTGCAGTGAAAGACATTTTTGAATGGAATGATTAACAACCCTGTGATATTAAGAATAATAATGATATTATTATAATTGCTGAAAGTGACTACATTTACATGCACATGCAAATTTTAGTCTGCAGTAACATGATCACAATGACCCGATTAGACCAATATTCTGGTGGTTTCCAGAAATCTGAATAGAGACCACTGGCTGATGCTTGTATTAATCATAATTTTGAGTCACTTAAACACCTTGTTAGGAAAAGCTAACGTTTATTTTTTATTTTTCACAGAAACACTAAAATAAGAAACTTACCGACCACAAACTTTTGAGAGGTAGTGTACATGTTGCATGTCAATGTGCTCTTGATGAGTTGATGTCAATATGCTGAATTACTAAGAACAAGAACATGCATGACTTTGTTTATATGCCGACTACATGTATACAGGAATATTCCAGTTGCTGTCAAGGATTTCTTGTGCATGTGAATGTGGTTACTGACTTAACCAGTGCTTATGGAGATAACATCTACCTGCAATTGCAACTGCAACATACTCTTTCTTTACGCACCGTCTAAATGCTGCCAGAGGTTCACATTAAGACTGGGAATAGTCTTGATGATCAGTATGGTACATCTCTTCAAATCATTCTGAATTCTTTGCGATACTATTGAGAAACAACTCAGGGCGCTTTTCAGTTGAGGTGTTAAACACGAGTGTTACTGAAATGGCTGCTACTATTTGCACTAGTGAAAGACTAAAAGCACTTATTGTGCTCTTACTAAAAGCACTTATTGTGTGCATTATAAAATAAGAACAAACATTAACACCCACATAGTCGAGTTTGATCAGAATACATCCTGCCAAACCATTGTCTACCTTGTGTGCAAATATATAAAGAATTGTCTTGTGTGAAAATGTTACAGCAACTTTTAAAACTAAAGCCATGAGTTTTGAAAGGCAGGTTTGAATACAAATGTCCATTCGGAGACTGAAACGGGAATAAAAAAATTATACATGTAATTAAAAAATCTTTATTTAATTTACATCAGAGGAACAATTCATAAAATAACAATGATTTCAAATATTGTATATATGCTAGCTATATATTATGTACAGTCCTACATACAAAACAATGGTGACTGCAGGGACGATTTTCATCATCAAAAGCTAATAGTCTTTCACACAAAGCACAGTGCCTGGGTTGTACAGTATTGTGTGCACTGAGTTGTTGAAAGTGTATCAGTATCTTGTACACAATTAGATCACCTGCTTGAAATGATGTAAGTATCCTCATACAACTGTTTGGACTAAGCTGAAGTTTAGTAGAGGATGTGTATCTAAAAAGGACTGAACTATTCTTGTGCATACTAAATTTAGGAACACTACCATTCCAGTTTGTTTTCTCATTCTGAAATGAATCAAGCCATCATATATATTGGTCAGACACAGGCATAAGTGTGTGTATGGACATTTTATGGTAAAATATTTAGGATTTTATTACATGACACTGCAGAGTGCTTAGTTAGGTGCAAGCTAATTTTAGGTCATTCCTTAGGTCTGCCCGTAAAAGACGAGTCCTCGTATTACATTGAGTGAATGATCTAAACTAGCGCAATTTTAATGCTCTGATCATTTTAAAATTTGTATATGAATATCGGGCATGGCTTTCAATTTGCAGTCACTGGATTTAAACACTAATTCGCCTGTCAGTTGGCTTACACCTTCTCTAAGAGTGCTTCATTATGTACATTAGCAGACCTGAGTCTAGCATGCATTTTCAGAATAGTCTCTCTACAGTGTGATGTCCTAGTATGCGTTTCCTCGTCTAAGGTAAAGGTAAAGAGATTTTTTTTTTTTTTTTAAATCGACGGATCTGGCACCAAGTTCCTCATTTGAAGTCTCAACCTTCATGGCACACAGGGAGAAATCCTCTAGACCTGAGTTTTGGATATGTAAGCAATCATCAAGCCTCCCCCCCCCAAAAAAAAACTTCCTGAAAGAGTCTAAATTCCAGTGAGAACCAAACCGGCATCTTCTGTAAACAACAGCATTATTGATCATCCTGGAATGACTCCAAAGCAGGGCTGCAAATATAATCACATGGTTTACCTCAGCTCCTAAATAAAGGACATTATTTTATTTATTTTTCCTTATCTAGACCAACCAAAGAGTGTCAAAAGTGGTCAAATGCATGTGTCTGAGTATAACATGACCCAGAACCGCAGTAGCACCATGTGTGACTGTCTCGTAAAGGGGAAAAGCTTATAAGAACTTGATGTTGTTGTTTTTTTCAAGATAGTTCTTTTATATAGCACCTATGTGAAGTTCATGGTCAACACATCAAGTAGAGCCCCACATAAACACTATGAACATGAAAAAGTGCTATAAGAAAGAACATAAATGCATTTAGAGGGCCTATATTTGTGCCAGGCCTTAAAGCGACCCATAAAATCCCTCTAAAAGCTCCCCAGTACATTGTTCCTTAATGCCAATGGGTGCTGGAAGAGTCACTGTCCATCACGTTGGACCTTGCTGACCACGAGTTTGCAGGCTACTGAAGTGGGCCTCCCTCAAGATACGGTTGATGTGATCATATGAGACGTTGTGGCTCAAGGAAATGGCCGGCTCTTCTGCAATAGTGGGGCTGCAGGGAGCCTGGGAAACAGGGAGTCCTCTTTGGTCGGTCTTCTGGATGCTGGAACTGGCACCTGCCATGCGGTCCGGACTGCTAATCCCACTGCTGTCACTGCTGGAAGACTGTTGGTGGAAAAAAGATTTGAGTTTGGTTTCTGTGCTGTAGCACTTCTGGTTAAAGTTTAAAGTGGGCTGTCAACTAATAAAATACTCAAAAAGAGATTAAGGGTGTGTTCACACTTGGCATATTTGGTTCGATTAAAACTAACCCTGGAGTGATTGCGGTTCATTCGAATAAGTGTGAACACTGCCATCCGAACCCTGGTGCGCACCAAACAAGCGGACCAAGGCCGCAGAAAAGATGGGTCTCGGTCCGCTTCCAAACCAACTCGGTTTGATATGAAATATGAATGCAACACGGACCAAAGATATGTAAAAGGACCAAAAATGGGACATGATGTCACAAGATACGACCCTAAAAAGGACAGAATGCTAAAGCATACCTGACATTACTCGTTACAGTTGCGATGTTGCCGCATCTAACGCGTCTCCTCACAGCAGATCTTCGTTTGTGTGTGTGTGTGTGACGGAGGGATTCCTGCTGCTGTTTCGACCCCTTTACATATTTTATAAGCTTTTCAAGAGTTCTCAGCTGGTCAAAATACCATAATATGTTGGCTACGCACATACAACGAGCACATTTATCCCAGCACACAGCATTGTTTTGGATGTTCGGCAAGTTCCATCTCGAAACGTTATAAAAGCCGACCAATCAGGTTATGAATGTATCCCTATGCCTTTAGGTTTGATGTTAAAATGCCAATGTGAACTCTAAGCGGACCAGTCCAGACCAAACAAACCGAACTACAAGTGTGAACACACCCTAAAATTAGGTTCATTCATCACACTGGAAAAGTCAAATACCTTCCATTTGATACAGCTTTGGAATCAGACTTAACTCCATACTTTTGTAAGAGCTAAGTGTGTGCCTTTACGAAACACATTCTAGAATGAACGTCAACAGTTGACCGTTCTTGAACGAAAGAATGTTCTTGGCCAGCTGTTGCGTCTTCTTACCTCAGAGTCCCAGACATCACGGCCAACCTCAGGAAGAAAGGAATAACCTCCAGACCTCTTTGCCTGGGGTAAGACCTGGAGTTGCTCAGCATCACAGCTGCGTCTGCGTTTTCTGTTGACAGAGACCATCACCTTTGACTACTCTGTTTAACATGCATGGAAGAATTCATAACCGCAAGGTCTGTTTCAGCTGGTTCAGAATAATTTAGATGCAAATCTTTCCTAGTAGTAAGTGTACCACTGAGCGTCACCATTTCTTAAACCAGGGGTTTGAATGTAATAATTAACTTAATAGTAACTAAATATGTTCCAAATAATATTTAAATATATTTATAATATTAATTCGTCACAATATAAATTGGGCTACAACAAGAAACTGAATAGATGCCTTTACAATTTCAGGATGGATTTCCCTCGCACGAGGATAATTATATTTAGGGGGGTGGGGGGTCCGTGGATTGAAAAGAACGAAGATTGAAAACTGTCTTAAGAAATGGAGCACTGCAGACTTGATTGCAACCATTAGTCATCAATATGTCCACTGCAGGATTATGACTCAGATTTTAAGATTAAAAATGTCATCAACACAAGAGCTATCAAAGCCTGATGCTGGATAACAGCACAGACTCGTTTAACCGATATAGTAGTAGCTAGTCAAGAGGATCAGCCTTCTAAAAGAACATCTAAAAATAACCACCACCAGACATGAAGTACTGACAACAGCAGCCACATGGATGTTGGCAGGACATGCGTTACATAAAAGCAACATGAAACATGCGTGCAGACACAATTATAAGCAAATGATGTTACCTGCTTTCTGTCAACATGTCGTATCTGTGCATTTGACAGCCAAATAAGGGCACACAACACCTCTTCAACACCGGCTTCTTTTCAGCAAAATGAAGGGATCTGCCAAGGTTTCCCCTAATGATGAGCGACATGACAAATAGAATACATTGTGAGAAGCTGCAGACACGTTTACATTGCAGTACAGGTGTGAAGAACACGTAATATTAATATCTATTATTAGCCTAATTTGCATTAAGGTGCATTCGTGAGATACACTGAGCTATTATATTCATACTAGAAAAATGATCTGCATAGGAGTGACGAAGAACGGAACGGAACCGCCTCTATATATAATTTAAATGTAAACGTGTAGTATTAATTGACATTATTGAGACAAAATGGCTCATGGGCATAAGTCACACTGATACAAAACGATACTAATGTTACCATGCAAAAATAGTGCGTTCAGGGTGTCAAGCTGAGAGACAGATAGCACAATGCTATGTGTAGTTCACTTTACTTCCTCCTAGCGATGAACTGTTCCTACTACAGAACCAACGAAGTGATTTAAACGGAATTAATGGAGTTTGTGAAGAGACGAAAGGGGTGTGATGTACTCTACCTCTCTCTGTTCACAGATGGATCTTGAGTTCAGTCATTTTCTGAAGTTACAACGTATCCATTTCGCCGGATCTCATTCTTTTTCTCTCTCTCTCTCTCTCACTCGCTCGCTCACACTTCCATCTGTTGCTGTCATAATGACGTAGCTTGCGTGCCTTTGAGCGAGGGGTGACGTACGATTCGCACGTAATGTTTTATTTTTAATTGAATTATTGTTTTTGAGATTTTTTCTACATTAAATAATACATTTAAGTTGATTTGGATTAGACAAGTTATCCATTAATTTAAGAATGTTATACCATTCAACGTTTTTCAGTCATGACGTCGGCATATGGCAAAGCTAATTTATCCTTAAACTTCTGTATTAGTAAAAAAAAACATGACTCTTTGAAGATAGACCCTTTTCACATTAACTGTATATCTTTTTTACTATTCTTTGCGAAATTTACATATGTACATTTATAAAGAAAATAGCCTAACTTCTTTGTATTTTCACGAAAGATATTATATCTAAATTCTTTATAGAAATTGCTTGTAAGACACTTCGATTGTGTAATACTTATATTACAGTAAGATAATAGGCCTACGTTTTAGTTGATTTTATAATTCCTTTGTAACCTATTTTTTTACAGTCTATGTTGTAACCCCATATATAGCCTATTACAGTAATATGTTGTTATTGCCTTTCTGCTTGTAAGTGTTGAGTTCTTACTTCTTTGTCGATAGATAGATGAATGATTGATTAAATTATTTCGTTCGGAAAAGAATGTGCAATTGCTTTCGTGATCAACGGTGTTATGCACACAGGCTACTTACACACAGGCATTGATAGAGACGGCTAACTGGGTCTTTCGTAACTCAAAATAATCCAGCAAGTCCTCTAGCGGGTCCATCGCATATCGCAGGGTCCGTTCTTTTACTGCATGTCCCATAGTAACAAACGGCAGATTTCATATGCGCAAACGAGCTAGTTAAAATACAACCGACTTGGTTTAAAGTGGCTGCATGAGAAAGGTTCCCAAGTCAAGAGTTTAATAATGATTAAAAGACACCAGAGAGAAGACATTTCCCTCTTCCATTGAAAGATGGCAGTGAAATTATAAAATATGAGTGTAGGTGAGTGGCAAATCTAAATATTTGATAGATTATTTGTCCATTTTAGTATCCCATGCCTTGTTTGTAGTTTTTAAGACCCCATTAAATCAAAATGGGAGTTTTGTGGCTGTTAGCCCATATCTGTTTTGAGGCCAGTGTACTACTTGAAAGTTGACAAAATGAACGTTAAACAGATATTTAAAATGTGTAGGTATTTAATAAATAGGTTAAAGGAATTATATTACATCAACAACACTGCTCATAAAACTGCTCATAAATTGATTTCATGTTTCTTCTAAGAGATATGGGGGAAAATATTAGTTATTGGTTTCTACAAGCAATACAGTGATTTCAAACCTATTGATCCAGTCCTGTAATATCTGATTTTTTTATTCTTTTCTCTTTCAGACGAATGTCCATTTTGTGGAAAGCCATTCAAGAGGCTGAAAACCCACCTACCACACTGCAAAATGACACCAGTTACACAACCCAAGAAAAGCATTAAAGCGCCAAAAGAACTGAGTGCAACCACATCCAGACATAAAAAGACAACAAATGGTGTCATCTTTGATGAGAGACTAACCTCCAAAAGCAGGAGGAAAGAAGATACTCACAATGCAGACAGTCTTCTCACAACTACTGAGGTCAAAGTCTTATCATCTGAAGCTCTGGACATGGAGAGGCCTAAAAACAAATGGCTTGCTAAAAGACAAAGGGAACTTGAGAGATTACCCCTGTTAGTGCCAATCTCAAAGATGCCAAGCAACCCTACCTCATTATTCAAGCATGAAGGAGATAAAAGCTTTTGTGAGATCTCCAAAGGACCAAATCAGGGAACATCTCAAAGTAATGGAAAAAGTGCTAAAGGCAAAAAGAAGCTAAAGATGGCACCATTATCAGAGCAGTTGTCCATCACCAAGAGTAAAATCAATACCCCTGGATTTGTGCCAGCCATTCTGAAAAACTCTAGCCTCCCATCTGAGTGCAGTGTACAGCATGAAAATCCAAAACTTAAAACAAAAGTTTACTTCTTGGAGGAGCTTGAAAGACTTGCGAACAGCCAGAACAAGAATACCGATCTAGTGTCGAGAGCAAAAGAGCATAAAGCTCATGCTTTCTTTACATCCAAGACTTCTGTGTGGGACCACATCAATTACAGTTTGTATTACAAGAGGTCTTATAATCTGTTTGTGCCTTATCCTGTTATTGAAACATCCAGAGATTATGCTCTGGAGACTATGCAACAATCAAACAAGCCTGAAACAGCAGTTACCAAGGTTGCCTTTCCACCCTCACTGACTTCATCTGAAACCATTCATCAACCTTCAGAAGACATCCTTAGTTCAAGACTGCAAGGTGCAAGACGTCTATCATGTAGTCCAGAGACAGTGACTGCTTACAACAGAATACAGTTCTCCTCAGTACCTTTAGGCAGCTATGCGAATGAAAATATTTGGAAGAAGGGTCAATTTCCTGGACCGTTCTCCCAAAGTGAAGGTAATCCATGATTTCTGTGATGTTTGGTTGTTTACATAGTTATTTTCATGTGAAGAGAAATCCCTTTTTAAAAAGAGAAATCACTTAGTTTAAAAGCATGTTTACACCAATGATTCTAAACTTAAGAGAATAGCAGAGTCCGCACCACAACAATAATGATAATGATATCATTGGAATCACTTTCACAACTGCTGATAACAACATTGACAGCCAATCAGAATCCGCCCTGCTTTAAAGAGCCCAAGAACATTATTGTGTGTTGGTGTGGACGCTATGCTAGTTATCTTCATAGTTATCGTTCTTGGTGTGAACGGAGCTTAATACTTGTATCTGTTTTACTTTTACTTAATTAGATTATTACATTTTAATTAAAGTTTGAACTGCCCTAAAATGAGTCAAAACAAAAAGTTGCCAGTGTATTGTTTTTACACGGTAAAGTTTAAAGGCCTATATGTAAGGGCCCTCTGATGTCTGCGATGCGGAAAACCTGGACAGGAGTCGCAAAATCAAGTAATAACAATAGAATTTGCTCTATAATGCGGAATGTCACTGAATTTGGCATGAATAAATCAAAAATGGAGATGTACACTTAATAAAATCACGATATGTGAATGTTTAACTGCAAAAAGTCTGTTATTGGAATATGAAGTCTGCATGTTCTGCGTGTTTCTGTGTGAATGAGCAACGCAGTATCTACATCAGTGGTTCTCAATCTTGGTCCTAGGGAGCCACTGCTCTGCACATTTTATATGTCTCCTTTATCTGACACACCCACTTCAGTTAATAACGCTCTTTCCTAACGAGCTGATGATCTGAATCAGGTGTGTTAAATGAGGGAGACATACAAACTGTGCAGAGTAGTTGCTCCCTAGGACCAGGATTGAGAAGAACCACTGATCTACATACTCAAGCACGTGTGGCGCATCTTCATCTGCTGTCTTATGATGACATTTCACATGAACTTCAGAGCTGCCCGGAGAGTTCACTTCATGAACATTTTACCATTTCATTCGATAGTATACGCTTTAAAACATTTCATTTTCACAAAAGGTTACATTAGTGAAATTGCACCGAACCAATAAGATTTCTGTTGGTCAGCGTGGCAAATCCGTGTGACCAAATTGAAACCATTGTGAAATCTCTGGAAAATCTTTCACCCTGACATAAAATTCCCAATCTCGTGGATTCCTATTAAAATTACTGGCTATATCCTATATGAATGAATCCTATATAAATTCACCTGGCAAAATTCCCTGAACAAAAGCCCGTATTATTTTAACTTATTTTTAAAATTACCTTATTTAACAGTGGAATTTGTGGTGAAAACTATATTACATGATGCTGTATTGAAAATTGAGTGTCGAAGAAAGTATGTATATGCATATTTTGCAATGAACTTAAAATACATTGTTTCTGTAGATACATTCTATAGATAATTTCAACAAATGAGTAGTTTTATATTTCAACATCAATTTTAATTTGATTATGTTGGATTTAATTTGCAATGCTTCATGGGATTGTACTTCTTTCCTCACTAAAGCTGTTAAGTTCACAGTCTTGTACCTTTGTATTTTTGTATTTTCAAAGTTTTTAATGCTATGATTCACCTTGTAGCTGGTTGGCTTAGTTCATGGCTTATAACGCTTTAACAAAGACGTCCTATGGTAGAAATTAATGGAAAAAAAAACTTCCATTTCCAACATTTAGGTTTATGTTTACATTTAGGTACCTTAGAATTGTTAAGCACATTCTTAAGTGCCTTTCTGATAGTAAATGAGCTACACTTTCATCTTGGCTGGAAAGGGATGTTGGTCCATGAAACGGTTTCATCTCATTCCTCCTATTACCATTTATATTCATTCTTTCATGTGATTTTTTCATTTCATCTTCAAGTTCCACATCCACATTGTGCTTCCACACTAGTTTTCATGACATGCTCGTTAAAATAATGAATTTCTCATACCAATTCAAAAGAAACAAGAGAGTTGAAATGATAAAAATATGAAATGATAAAAATGCCTTTGTTCATATAGTGCCTCTAGTGCAGCGGAAACTTGGAGATGTCAGATTGAATAAACTTGGTGTCTGGCTTGCCGCTCGAACTCCGGTGTCACCTGTAGAGATTGTGACCGTGTTAAAGCAAGGTTTGTTCCTTATCCAACATAATATAACATAACATTTGGGTTAGTGGTTTTCTAGTGTTTTCTGGTTATGTTATCAGGTTGGCAGTGGTACTACAGGAAGTATATTGATGTTCGTAGAGGAGGAATCGGTGGGATATCCATGCTGTTGACTGGATACTGCTTTCTGTGTTACATATGGAGATACCCACATCTCAGTGAGTCTGAATCGATGTCATCAACAAACATCCCATAATCATTGGCATGCATGATTGAAATGTCTGTTTTATTCTGTTTTACAGAGAACGAACGCTGGAGGAAGTACCATTAAGGACGTTTGGTAGTCTTTGTAATTGTTTTCAGGGCCATATGGGCACAATAAGATGAATAATTAATAGGGCAAGATTATAATTTCAGGAACTATTGGTTTACTACAATTGAGGTTTGCTGTGTTTTTGTTGACAAGTTAGTTAGAAATGTCAAGACTGTGACTGATAAAGTACTTATGAATTAATTCATCTTGAAGCACAGATAATGGAATTATTTGAATTAAATATTTATAATTGCCCAAAAAAAAAGAATGCTTTTAACCAAAACAATTTTACGTTTTGTTTATTGTGTAACCAGAGGACTTACCCAAGATCTAATAAATTATAGAATATTGTTCTGCACTTTTTTTGTGAGACCTGTCATATGGTTCTTTTGTTTGTTGTTTACATGATCTTGTTTAATTTCTTAATTTTTATGTAATATTGTTGCATATGCATATAAACAATCTGTTAAAAAGGAAGACATTACGACAGATTGGCTGTATTCAAAATGGATTTAATATTTATCTCTGCTGTTGTAATGAACACTCACAAAAACAACAAATCATGAACTGACCACATATACAGTATGACGTGTACACCTAACATAATAAAAATAACTTTTTAGTTTTACATTCTTTTTCTTTACAAAAAGTATAAATATTTTGTGTTTCATGTTTTTATTTTTTTGTAATACAAACATTACAAATCAAGTTGTAGGTGATGCAGAAAATAAAACGTTAAAAGCAACTTTTACCATGGGGTATTACGATAACTGAAGGCCACACTCGCACAACAAAAAGCAGTAAAAACAAACGATACACTATTTAAACTTGTTTTCACTCGCTCTGTCCTAAGGCAAAGAAGCCCTTCAAAGTGAAGGTCTTTCAAAATGCTCCCTAACACCGACCTCTAGAGCTCAGATCAGAGAGAAGAATATTTCACTTTTTTTTCTGTCTGTCATTTTTGGTTGAATTGCTGGGAAAGACGGTGGCGTTTAGTGTTAATGATGCAAAAACAATGGGATGGCATTAGATGAAAACAAGCAACCTTCCCTTCAGATCTGGAATGGATGCTAATGGAAACAGACTTGTGAAAATGTACGCACACTGCAGTTTAGCCAACTATGGTCGCAAATTCATTGGAACTCTGTTGGAAACAATGGAACCTACGACTTTAGTTGGCTTTGGGAAACGCTCCCCTGGTCAGTTTTTGACATTGTCTTGGTCATACTCCCATCGTTGACTGACAAAGCCCTGTAATGGCACAGTTAATATAGGTTCTAGTCTATGAAACAGGACTGAATGCTGACAGTCTCCTCTTTAGAAATGATTTCTCAAAACGGGTTCTTGAAATGTGGGCCTGTCCTCCAACCAAACTGCATTATCTCAGGAAACAGCCATCTCATAATGCTACTAATTAGATACCAATATTGAATTTAAAAAAACCTGATGTGCTGTGACATCACTACTTCTGCTTTCACCGATTTAAAACTGCGGAGGGGCTGTAAGAGCTGTGATCATGGCTATCTAAAGTACAAGGTCACGTCCACATGTGCAAATATAAGCTGCCACTAGAGGCAGAAACTGCAAACTGACTGCCAAGACTACAGCCTGACCAGCAGGGGACTCAACGCACAAGGGAAAATGAAAAGTTTCAAACAACATCAGTCTTGGTAAATCTCACAAAAATCCCCAAATCAAAGTAAAGAAATAAGAAATTATATTTTGCTCAGAGAAATCAAGTCTGTTGTAGGACCACTGAGATTGTGATGACAATATTTCATGACAAGCACAATTACAACCAATTTGTATTACCATAATGCAAAAAAAATAAAATAAAAATAATTTGTGATGAGAAAAAAATTAATTGTAATGTACTTGTACATAATAATAGAGATTGTTGCACTGCATTAAATTCTTTTAGATTCTTTCAAAATGTAATAAGAATTTATTGACAATAACGAAAATTTAAATGTGATTAAAATGTGCTTACTTGATTTTTTTTTTTTTTTTTTAGTTACCACAATGCAATTAATATATATTACTGGTCCAAAAAAAGTTTTCCTCTTCTTTTTGCAAAATATTATTTCTTAAAAATTCCATTGATTTTGGGTTGATATGCGACTGACATATTTTCATGAGATTCACCAATGTGGGTTCTTTGAGACACTAACTAAAGGTGCAAACCAGCACATATTATCTCCTGACAGGGAGCAGCACAGAATTTAAAATATATATATATAATGCATCATTTAAAAAAATGAATTAAACAAAAAAGATAAACATCATGTAACATTGTACCCTCAATCTGAGGACTTAACTTTCCCCTGCACAAAACCACACAAGTGAGTTTTGTCTCTGTGGAGAGGTAACATACCTGTAAGGTACAAAACTAATTGCAAAACAAATGTAAAAAAAAAAAAAAGAAGAAGAAGAAGAGCACAACCAATGTTTAAAAACAATTAAACGCGCAGGTGTGTTTGTGTGCCTCACTTGGTCAAAGTCTACTGCAATGATACAACATAAGTGTGGAGACAACCATAAAACCTTAAGTGCGGACAGACTATTAGACTAAGTGTCTGATATTGATCGATACGCTACAAATATCAATGTCTACTCATGACATTCCAAACATCACACTTACTTACTGCTTGATTGTGTGTGTGTGTGTGTGTGTGTGTGTGTGTGTGCGTGCGTGCATATATTGATGTGTGTGTGATTGCAAGTGTATCCTGTAAAGCATTGTCAAAAAGGCTTTCTTATGTAAACTTCTCTAGAAAAACAGGCACAGTATTAGAGTATTACTATCATTAGATTCACCTTCCTGTTCCTCAACCTAGTCAGAGCTGCTGTGTGCATTTCAAACCGTGATAATGCCAACGTACGTCCATTCACACATGCCGTGGAGTTCAGCTCGCACACACATGGCATGAAATGAAATGAGATTAACATGGAACAACTAACAAACATAAATATGGCACTGTCTAACATTCTAAGATGCTATTCACAGCAGCCTCAAGCACAGAGTCTGTGTCAGCCAATGAAGTGTGATTATGATCTGAGGGAAGTTGTTCTTCATGGCCCCGTCCCAGGCTCGAAGGGTAGCCTTGGGCAGAGCTATGCTTTGATTGGCTGGGAGATGTAGGGTAGTGAGCATGTTGACTGTTGCTGCTCATTACGGTGCTGGATGTCTTTTTTTTTAAGTCCACGATGCACTTGATGGGGGTTCTTCTGTGTTCTTCCATTCCTTGTTGTTGAGATTCTGTCCTATAAGCAGGTTCTGTGTGGCTGTTCATACCCTGCTCATCTTTTACAGTGACACTTATGGAATGCCTTGGAGATGTTTCCATTGTGCTGGGATTGCCCTCATTGGTGACAGGGGTCAAGACTTCGGGACTTGGGATCCTTAGTTTACGGCCACAGCAGAAGTCTTCCAGGAAGCCATCTGAGGAGCAATATGGCAAAAAATTACATGCATACATTCAATCAAGCAAGCGCAAAACATTTTTAAATTATATCATTTTGTTTGCATTTGGTATAATTAAAGGACAACATCGTAAAAGCGTTCCATAAATCACAACAATTTCAAAAGAAACCAAAATCTACCGTGCAGTTTATGTATCTGAATGATCAAAAATTACCAGCACCACCTACACACTCTACTTTTGTGATGATTGAAATTATATATATGTGAATATATATATATATATATATATATTCACACACACACATTATTTTAATTTTTTTAATTATTTTTAAATTTTTAATTTCTTCATTTGTTCTCCAAGGCTTTGCCAATTATATATAGTTTATATATATATATATATAGTTATATATAGTTTTTGCCAATTATATATATACAATTATATGCATGTTACTTTGCATATAACAAAATCGATGTGTGCATTTAAAATATTAAATAATCACACAAAAAAAACCCTCCAAAATATACATTGCAAATACTACTTAACTGTATTCAAACAAAATAAAACTAATTGGAAACACCGTGAAATTACTTTATGTCAACTCATAACATAAAACTGTGAAAATGCAACCAGGCTCCCATCTCTCACCTGGATCCACTAATATCATTCGTTTGTCTTGGGTCAAGTTGCCCCGTTCCTCTTGGTTAAAAGTCCTGTCAATCATCACCATTTCTGATGAAGGGCTAGACCTCTGAAAGAGCATTAAGCAGTGAATGGTTTTGCATTAGCGCAAGTTACATTAGAGTAATTAATTACCTACAAATAACTATATGTAGTATTTTGTGCATTTAAGTTAAAAGCATGTTCTGAACTTACCTCTGCTTCCACCATGAGTAAGCGTCTGTATTTGTTCACCATGGCCTGCGTTCTGTTTAGCACTTGTGTGGCAACTGCCTCAAACTCGTCATCAACTGTAAAGTCAAAAATTATCATCAGAACCTATGACATATTTATCTATGATTAAATATTAATTGTGTAGAGGAAAAGTTGAAAATGCACTTTTGGCGAAATCTTCATCTTGTGGTAGTGAGCCTTGGAAAACATGATAGGGCAGTAATCTGTAAATGCCATCATTTAATGAAGTGAAGGGTGTCCGCTCTGAAGACATGACTCTACAGTGATCCTGTCTTAACTGCTGGAGGACCCTGTCAAATAAGGCCCAGTGTTACAATCATTATTTCTGCAATTCTATTCATTGACACTAATGGTGCAGAAATTACACACTTCATCTGTAACAGGTGTACAATTTGGGCACTCACATTCCTCCTCTAGTAAGTTGCTGAGTTGCAGGTCGCTTCGGTGTGAGAGGCAATTCCTGACTGGCAGGAGTGAGTGTTTTCACAGCTAAGATTAAATAGAATAAAGAAAAATTACTTCATGGACCCGAGAAAGGAAATTCAGGTGCAAAAAACAACAACAACAACACATAATAATATATTATACACTACCATTCAAATGTCAGTATGTTTTTTAAAAGAAATTAATACTTTGATCAAAAGTGACAGTTAAGACATTTATAATGTTACAAACGATTTATATTTCAAATAAATGCTGTTCTTTTGAACTTTCTATTCATCAAAGCAACCTGAAAAAAATGTATCACGATTTCCACAAAAATATTAAGCAGCTATTAAACTGTTTTTAACACGGATAATTATAAGAAATGTTTCTTGAGCATCAAATCAACATATTAGAATGATGCCATGACAAAATAAAAACCTTATGAAATCTCACTTATGGTCACTGATGGAAACACAAAAAGGATTCAGAGTAGTCTTACCTTTGGTACCAAGGAGATTAACTAATTGTGTTTGCCCTCTTTGAGTTGCTGCTGTGGTGTTCTATGAAATTGAAGAAACATTCAAATGTAATGAAACAATACAACTTTGAAGAGGCACTTTGGATAAATTGATAAAAATTTATTTCACCTGGTTTAGAGAGACTTGAAACTCCGGAACGCCTGAAGTAGTTGGAGCGTTCTGGCCCACAGGCATAAGGTGCTGGAGGTGCTGTCCTGGACTCACAGATAACTGCTGACAAACCTGTGGGCCTTGAACACCAGAACTGACCATGGTGAGGTGGCTTGAAGTCTGTGACGCCTGTAGAGGCGATGGGCTAGGCGACGCGCTGGCATTCCAAACTTTGGTCGTGGCACCAGGCCTTTGAGACACCTCCATAACAGGTGTGGGTGAAGCTTGGCCTATTTGACCTCCACTGACCAAACCTTGATTGACTATTAGCTGCCCTCCAGCTGAAAAGTTCTGCCCAGCGATAAGCTGTACTGTTGTGTTCTGATTGGTGAGGATGGAGTAGGTGGTAGTGCTTATTGACCCCGGGTCACCCACTTGAGTGTTTGTTTGTAACACCTGCCCATTCACAGTCTGGAAGCTGTGAACAGTCGTACCAGGGGTTAGGGAAATAGAACTGGGTAGCAAAAACTGCCCCTGAGGCAGATTGGACTGGGACTGTGGTTGTACTTGTTGCCCCAGCGGTGAATGCATTACAATGCTGCCGGGTGGATTGACCACCTTCACCTGTTGAGCGGACTGAGGAGAGCCAGTTGTTGTGTAGGGGCTACTGACTAAATTCGCAGCAGTGTTGGTGCTAGGTTGAAGCCCGATGTTGCTGATATTGTATACAGTTTGTCCTCCTGCCTGTAAGGGTTTAGGCTGAATCGGTCTAACCAATGCCTGTTGCGTAGGGCCTCTCTGGATGATAATATTTTGAAGTGGTATCGTTCCTTTATTGAAAGACATTGACACCTGACCAGCTGCGGAAGGGGTGAACATGGTACCCTGCCCGCTGTTGTTTGTAACTACATTTCCGCTCTGCCTCAACAGGATCTGAGGCTGTTCCAAACTGTTGATAGTCATCATAGAGGAGGCACTGCCACTAAAGGATCCCACTACCTGGATATGTCCAGAGGGGCCATTTGGCAAGGGTAGTTGGGGAACCTGCTGGATAAAAGCCTGAGGTTGTGCCAATGGTGCCACCACACCAGGACCCGAGACACCTCCAAACCCTCCAGAGACCAGCTGCTGAGGGAAGGCGGTAGCTGTAGAAGTGAGAGATGGCTGGGAGTCCAAAAGGGCTTCTTGAGCCAATGTCTGCTCTGTGATATCTGCTTCCAGCAATGACTTCTGGAGGATGTCAAACGGTTGGTCCTCGCCACTGAGATCGACCCCATCTGGAGAGGTTCCACCGTCGAGCTCATCCTCAATGAACGGAAGACTGCTTGAGAGCTGAAGCTCAGCTCCACCAGCCTCCCCAAACTCTCCCAAATGATTGTGGCCATCTTTGAGTTCTTCATTGGAGCCACTCTGAGAAGAAAACCAAATAAGTTGTTGTTCAGATGCTCCTACTAAATCCCAATTCTAGGTATCCCCATTGCTTGCAATCTTTACCAGACTGTATACAGTATACCAAGACGGTTCACTCATTTCTATGAATGGGAGAAAGTACAACACACAATATGGCACGAAAACTCCCGCCTTCTAAATAAAAGACCCAATCGCCAATTGGTAAAGTCGTCACATCACTGCAGGTGTCATTATAAGCTCCTGTTCCTACAGAAACAGTTAAGCCCAATTAACGTGTAGTAGACGTTCTCTTGGCACATGACTGCACATGCGCATTAACCAACCTAAAATATGTGCTTTTTAAAGCTATTTAAGCATAAGAAACATATTTATAGGACAGTTCATGTCAGATTTAGTTGCTGATTTGAAAAATGTTATTTAAATATGAGTTTGGCAAGCAATTATTGAGATTTCCGTTTATCCAAATTCAAGTAGATAGGAGCTAGTCTCATAGCTGCCAACTCTCACGCATTGGCCGTGAGACACCCGCATTTGATTGGTTTCACACGCTCACACGCCACACTCCCGATTTCTCACGCTGAAGTGTCAACCCGGGCGGTCAAATGCCTGGAAGATGAGTTTATCTATATATCTACCTGTTGAGCCACTCGTGATCGACTAGTTATACCGCAAATTCGTTAAAAATCTCCCGTTATCTAGAGCGAGCGTGCATGCGAGACAGAGATTGTGCTCCAAACCGCGTAGAGCGAGACTGAGACCTTGCGCGAGCGAGACCGCCCCCCCCCGTCAACAAATCTCACTCGTCTCTACTACTCCCCCCCCCCCCCCCCCCCCCCCCCCCGTCAACAAATCTCACTCGGCTCTACCCCCCCCCCCCCCCCCCCCCCGTCAACAAATCTCACGCCGAGCAAAACTCAAAAGTTGGAAGGTATGTAGTCTTTATGACCAAAATTGCTTCCTGGAAGCGTTGCAAATATGGCCGCCATGTGAACTGACTTTAACTATACTCACGGTGTCACTGGTGAAGAATGAGCTGGCCGACCCAAATGCTGCATTTGTCACATCATCTTCTCCAATCTGTTTGAATGTCAAAGAAAGTTGTCAATAACCTTTCAACATAAAACACAAATGTCATATAGTGTAAGTATACTTACAGATTTACTATTTGAACCATGCAGATACTCATTCAATGCTTGCACATCTCTGTTGAAATAAAACAGTTCATTAAAGCTTGTTTATGTTTGATGGGCAAAATTTATTTTTAAACTGTTTGTAGCTCTTTAAACCATAACCATCAAATTATAAAGCTGATTACCCTAAAAAATCCAGAAGACGGCGGTCGTCTTCATCATCCATGACACCTGCGACAGTAACAGATTTTGAGATATTACAATGTACACAATTTCCCTGCCGTTTGGCTACAGTGAGACATACTTTGTATATAAATTTTTTTCTGAATACACCTAAGGATCCAATAAATGTAGTGTGCATAGTGTTTTACACAAAATCAAAGCATTGTAATCTGTCAGGATCCCCAGTTTTAAAACCTCTAGTGCTCTTTGGTCAAAATTTTACGTTTTTCTTTTTTTTTTTTACTTAATCGGAATGGTACGAAACTTGGTAAAGGTTTTGGCAATTGTTATGCGAGCACAACACAATTCACGGATATGATTCGAAAAGGTTAAATGGTCCTGAAAAAAATGACTGCATTGGAATTTTTTTTTTTTTTTTTTAGATATCAACCTCAAATTTGGAACACAACCTGTTTAGATTTATGGCTTTGATTTGAAAACATGTTTTGGGAAATATATAATTCATATAAAATTTGAAAATAGTATGTTTGTGCATTTTTCATAACAATACAATTATTCTTTTTTTCAACTTCAATCTGCTAAGTCTCTTCTTTAAAAAGAGACCAAACCATGCTCCAAAGCATTCCACATTTACGAAAAGTGGTAAACAGGTAATAAATGGATTATAACTAATGCATATAATTTAGTACCATAGGATCCCCTACAAATACAAAATATTAAATAAAAAGCTATCAAACTAAAATATAGTACATTAATTTCATTGAAAAGAAAATTGGCCATTTTGACTCCCACGCAAGGAGCACCAGAGGGTTAAAGAACATTCTCAGGACATGTATAATATAAGACTTCAGGTATAATAATAAATACATACAAGCATTTGACATTAATAGGCCAAAGAACTGTACTCTGCAGTCATAGGCCTCTATGCCATGTATTTTGACATAACGCTACGTTAGCAATTCGAATACACAAACTTGTGACAAACAGAAATGAATTAAGAATCAGAAATGTAGAGTGTTTATAGTGTGACCGGCTCTGGTAAATTCTTTTTTCCAGTGGAGAATAAATACACAACATAAAAATAACTATAGCTGATATTCTTGTGAAGTAAACAGTAAGAAATTGTTTGACTTCGCAACAAACACAATTTCATCCTAATCAGCTAGGAAACTTGTTTTTAGTGTTTAAGTACAAATAAGGAAAGTAAAATAGTCTAATATACATTGTAGTGTTACACGAATATGATGTTTATGTTTAAAAATGCACAAGTCTGACAAAGAATGGCTGTTCTCTTTGCTGCAGATAGCCTACATGCACAGACTTTAAAATGGCGGCTGCTGATTGAAACTGCGCCACTGCTCGCTATGTCGACAGACAAAAGGGCGCTATGACGCAGAGAACTTGTGCCGTGTAAAAATGTACTCGATTGTAATTTCAGATCATATTTTTGTAAAGCTGCCATAGAAATGTGAACAACTTGAAAATTCATGTGTGGAAATGTGATAGAGGAAGAAACGTGGGGGATGGGTGAAACATGTTTGGCCAGTTTGATTGTTCACACTCGCACTTCACAAGCTTCTGTTAATGCTTTATAACACATATTAGTGAGGGAACGAAATGCGTCGTCTGTTTTTCCCAAAGTGATTAAATGTTTGAACAGCATTCGATGGATATGTATTTTTGCCTTTGTTTCAAAACAAACGACGTCGTGCGTTGTTAAAAACAGCTTGACCTTGCAGAAATCCAAAACTGCTAATTTAATTAATTCATTATTAAACCGCATACACACAAGAACAGAAAAATAAACACACTGATCGGACCGTCTAAAAAGATACGAATGAATTATAAGTTTAAGTTAGTCGATTTGAAACTGAACATTTTCTAACTAGCAAGTCCAAGCTTAAAGCAATATCCGTGTAAGTTAGTGCAATCTTAATGAAGAAAAACGTACGACAGGTTAATCCGGCCCTTTTACATGTCTTTGATAAACAACTTCAAGATATATTTATAAAAACCTGAATTTGCATATAAATGAACGGGTTTTAATAAACTAAACGATGTATGTGAGGTAACTTATATTTAACACTTATATTCGTTAAGGCTGTAGTTAACTTAGCAAGCCAAATGAGGGAGGAGATGAATAATTTTTTCTTCCTCTCTACCAGAGGAAAAAAAAAACTATCTATCCTCTTTGCCTGATAAGTCAAAGGGGCGGAAAAGAGACACGTAGAAAACCAGCAACCCCTCAAAATACAGAGTAAAACCCTGTTGAAGGCAAGCAAGGCGACGCATTTTACTGATTCACTTGTCAAACAGGGTGGACTAAAAAGGCTCTCCATGGCGCAAGGGCAGGACGCACAAAACCCGCCTTAATCTCGCTGAAAATAACAGCTAGAAACACACAGGGACTTTGTCCATAAATAGAACGAGGCTGGAGAGACTCGGCTTTATCGCACGTCTCGAAAAAAGACTTTCTACAATGCGTATTTGCGCATCTGTGACAGCTGACGAGCGCAGCTTGGACGGGCGGCAAAAAGAAACGCGTAATCGGCATCGGACGGCTCGTTTAATACTGGTACGGATGTCTTAGGTTTGGTGAAGGGTGTAAACGCGGATCATCAGGCGAGTCTTATGCATTCTTCGTGCTCCGAGTTGTCGACGGCCTTCTTGACGTCGTGGACCTTCCCCACACCTATTAAGAAACGGCTGAATTCGTCGAGGAAAAACCGAACGGAGAACAATTCGTTGGCGAAGCATAAATATTTATTTGAATTTGCATCACATAAAGACGACTTGAAAAAGAGGCAAACCCTTACTCCTGTCTCACTCCTCTTGAAACCCAATATCTCCATTTGGCAACTTTTAATTTGCTCCCCCTCCTCCTCCTCCTCCTCCTCCTTCTTCTTCTGTCTCCCTCTCTCCCACTCATATATTTTTCCCTCACTGTCCTTGCTGCTCAGTCTCAGATAGATTTTTCTCTCTCCACGCTTGCTCTTCCCTCCCCGAAGGAAGGGGAGGAAGGAGGTTGTGTGTGTTTTTTCCTTGAAATTTTTATCACAAAATTATAATACACTCAAAGGGGAAACTCACCGTCATGAAAAAGCAGTGCCGTGTCCACGGGGTTTCCTCGCCATCTCTGCACGGGCCGGTGGAGCAGTGCGGCTCCAGCAGAAGGCAGCATCACTACATAGTGCACTAGACACCAAGGGCTCTTTACTTGAAACTAGAGGGGTTTCTTATTATGTTTGTTTACTACTGTAAAGGCTTCTTCTGTATCTTCTGCAAAATATAAATAAAACCTACTGTTTTGATTGACCACTTCAAATGCCTGACATGCATGAACAGAATAAAAATGGTTTGTTATGGGGGGCGGGGCCCTCGTGGACCACACCTTTAATTTTTTTTTTTTTTTACAATAATATGCATATTAAAATATACCCAAAAAGAACATGTGGTTAAATAGCAATTCGTATATCTATCATTTTGTGTATATGCTTAAAGGGGTTCATCATGTGTAGGCCTATAAAAGAAACAACTATACAAAAACATAATCTTCCAACACTTAGTTTAAATAAATTAAACATTAAAATAAAAATATGAAAGGATGTACAAAATTTTAAAAGGAAAGTGACTCATACATAACTTTATACAATTTACCAAGGGATTGATTATCTTCAAATAAGTAGGCCTATAAGATAAGTATTTTAGGGATGATAGATCATTTTTACATTCATTTTTTAAAAAACAAGTTAAAGAGGGTTCACTGTTATTCCAGTTGTTTGTATATGATATTTACCCATATTATAATAATGTTTAATATCAATGACATCTTTTTTTCCCCATTGACAACACCTTTGTGTCCTGAGATCACATCACCCAAAAGTGTGAACCTGAAGCAAAATAAGAAATGTATCATTGGATCCTTTTGATTGATTTTTATTTTTGGCTTTATTTTTTATAAACTGTAGCCTATATAATTATGAGATTGTTGCTACAGCAAGCATGTCAATGTTATCATTTATGAAATTAAATTAAAACATTGAAAACTTAAACTAACATTTACTGACAAACAATACATTTTCATCACTTCAAAACGAACTAAAACAAGTTTATTTCAGTGTTTAAATCATTTTGAATACTATGACAAAACTAGAAAACTGATCAAATGACAATAAAACTATAGCTAAATTAGTTGACTTAATTAAAAGGAAATTAAACAAGTAAAAACTGAAATTCAAAACTACAATATGCTGATTTAATTTGTATGTCCATAGTGCATACCAGTGATCATGTACGAAATTCAATATAAAATCAATATTAATTGTTAGGTAGGCTTTATCAAAAGAAAAAAACAGTTGGCAAACTGTGCAACTAAAAAAAACTAAACATTGTTTGTTTTCTCTACAGTCACGGGGTGATTTTGCAATTCTAAAAGAAATAAATCAACACTTATAATATATGATTTAAACTTATAATAACATTACATGTTGTCTAAAATAAATATCATATTAATAATTTAATTAAAATGTGAATCAAATACAAATATTAGAGAGGAAAGGGGTATAAATGTCTATGGAGTCTAAACAAAGTAATAAATAATTTTCTTCCAGTATCAAAAAGATGTGTGGGAAAACAGTGAACGTGAACTTTTAATGAGCCAATAGAAAGTCGCATTACTAATGGTACAGATTTTTTGTCCAATCATTGATCAGCATGCTTAGACGAGTTGTCACATGATCAGTGCGCGTTTACCACACCTCTTTAGAGAAGCAACATGGCGGCACTAGGAGTGGAAGTTAATGTGGCGAATGATGAAGGAGAAACAAATACAGCTGTCAATGTTCCCGAAAGCGTGTTACGAAGAGATCAAGCGCGGCTGGAAGAGGCAGAGCGCCGGAGAAATGTCAAGGAGAGCCAGACCGTGAAGGAAGAAAAGAGCGATTTCTTCACGTCCACCTTTAATGCTGAGAAGACGGCAGTCGAGGAGATGCTCTCCAGCTCCAACATCAGTGACCGCGATAAAGCCGCAAAAACACTGGAGGAGGTCACTGTGAGAATTCAACAGCTCCAGAAATTTCTCAACGACAGCATGTTGTTTCTAGCCCAATATGAAATAAGACAGGCACAGGCATCCATGCAGAAACTCCAGAGCTCTCTTGATGAGAAGAGGGACATGGTGTTGCCTAAAAAGAAATTCGCTTTCAGATCCAGGAATGCCGGAGCAAGTAAGCAGCCTGAACCGTGTAAACAAACTCCAGATAAGTCTGCATCTGATGTTGGTGGTACTGTAGTAGTGGATGCTGCAATCTCTGTATACCAGTGTGGATTCTCTAATGCTGAAAATCAAGTCCTGATCATGCAAGCTGAGGAGATCCAGCAAAAAGATGTTCTGTTATCTCATCTGACAAACTGTAAAGTGAGACTTTATGGCTGTCCGAGCACCCTGCACATCAAGAATGTCCGGAGCTGTGAGATCCTCTGCGGGCCAGTGTCCAGCTCTGTGTTTGTTGACCAGTGCACTGACAGCACTTTAGTGTTCCCCTGTCAGCAGCTGCGCACCCATAACACCACTGCCACTCAGATATATGTCCATGTGACCAGCCGGGCAATTATAGAGGATTGTCGTGAGGTCAGGTTTGCACCATTCACGTGGACCTATCCAGGTATTCATGATCATTTCAAAGTAGCCGGACTTGATCCAGACAGAAACAATTGGACAGATGTGGATGATTTCAATTGGCTTGCTGCTGGCACACCTTCACCCAACTGGACTGTCATTCCTGAGACTGAGAGAATAAGTAGTTGGGATTTTGTGGGACCATCTAAAAAAACTTTGATGTGATTACATTATTGTGTGCTCAGTAAAAATGATGCTAATATTGAGATGCCATAAAAATGGAATGTTTCCCAGTTCCGCACTTACAAAGCTCATTAATTAATTGAATGTTGTATTAAAATGAACCTGTAAGAAAATAAAAAAGTCTCATCCCAACCTTTTATTTGTAGTTCACTTGCCAAGACATTTAACTATACTGAATGAAATCGTTATTAAAGGGACAGTTCAGAGAAAAGTGAAATATCTGCCACTGTTTAATGACGCTCACGTCGACGTCGTTCCAAAACTTTAGACTTGTTTTCTTCTGTGGAACATAAAAAGAAGATATTTTGAGTGTTTTGTTTTTTATTTCTCTCTCTCCATACAATGGAAGTCAGTGGTCACCAAAACTGTCCGTACGCCCATATTCTTTGAAATATCCCATTTTGTGTTCTGCAGAAGAAAGAAAGTCATACAGGTTTGGGACAACATGAGGGTTTGACAGAATTTTCATTTTTGGGTGAACTATCGCATTTAATTCTGTTACTCATTTATACATTTATTAATATATAATGTCATTTGTTTAGTAACAAATTATGGAAAAAGTGAGATAATTTTTGTGCATTATGGAGGTTTTAATTTAATACTTTAAAATGATAACAAATCAAACGATTGTAGTTATGCATTAATTGGCCTGCTATATTCAGATTTATAGGCTCTAGTTTTTTTATACAAATACAATTATTATCTACATATGCATTTGTTGTGTAGACTAGTGATTTTTTTACTTTACGATAGTCTCATTTGTAAACATTACTGAACTACAGGTGAAACTCGAAAAATTAGAATATCGTGCAAAAGTTCATTTATTTCAGTAATTCAACTTAAAAGGTGAAACTAATATCTCATTACATGCAAAGTGAGATGTTTCAAGCCTTTAATTCTTAAAATTTTGATGATTATGGCTTACAGCTTATGAAAAACCCAAATTCAAAATTAGAACATTGTGGAAAGGTTTATAGCTGTAAGGCATAATCATCAAAATTATAAGAAATAAAGGCTTGAAATATCTCACTTTGCATGTAATGAGTCTATATAATATATTAGTTTCACCTTTTAAGTTGAATTACTGAAATATTGCTTTTGTTAACTAACAAAACTTAATAAATTCCATAAAATGATATTGCTCATTGTAGTTCATGCTAGCTAATGCATTAACTAATGTTAACAAATGAGACCTTATTGTAAATTGTCATTGTTTTTGACTATCATTCGTTCCATGAATATTTGAACGTTGAGAAATTTAGAGATCCTCTCAAACAGTGGCTTGTTTGTCATGAACTTTAAGACACTTGCAGTGGAAGTGTAATGGTTTTAACTCTTTGCCTCCTGGTTTTTGGTGTCTCTTTAGTTATGCCAGTCAAACCATGTGACCAATCAAGCCAATCACACGGCACGGCAGCAGCTTACAGATAGACTCATCTGCTGGCCAGGGATTTCTGTAAATGGGATGAGGGTGATTAGCTGGGTTTAGGATGACGTACAGTAACTTTGTGTTTAATCATTTGGATCCTTGGCTTTTGTCCTCCCTTTGCAGATAGAGGGACACCACTATTTGCGTCAGTACCAGGGCACACTGTTGTTTTTAAGTATTGTAGATGAAAATCCATTTTTAAGATTGTGAAGAAGATAATCTATTACACTGGCATTTACCTGTAAAAGAATCTGAGTTGGATTTAGTCTATTATGGGTGCAAAGATCATCATGAAAATAGCTATTAAGTTCTCGCTCTACTGGAATGGATTACACATTGCGCCTTGAACGTACTTTCAACGTTCAGCTTCTGTAAGGTACATTGCACAGCTGTCTTTGGAGATCATCAAACTCTGTTTTTTCTTTCTTTGGACTTTAACTAGTTGTTCAACATGGCTCTCATGAAGGTAAAGTTTGACCTGAAGAAACGGGTGAAGCTGGCCCAGATGCTATGGCTCATGTACTGGTTTTCTGTTATGGCTGGTGTTCTTGTCTTCAGCATGGGACTTTTCTTTAAAATCGAACTTCGCAAGAGAAGTGAACTTATGGACAACAATGAGAGTCATTTTGTACCCAACATTCTAATCGGTGTGGGTCTTTTAGCATGTTTTCTCAATGCCTTTGGGGGCAAAATCTGCTATGACTCGCTCGACTCCACCAAGTTTGCGAAATGGAAGTCCATTTTGCACCCCTTTCTCATTTGTTGTGTGTTCTTCAACTTCCTCCTCATCCTCACGGCGGCTCTGTGCTTTGCCATGCGCATTCCTCTAGAGTTTACCCTTGCCGAGGGCCTGAAAAATGGAATGAAGTTCTACAAGGACACCGATACACCCGGTCGCTGCTACATGAAGAGAACTCTGGATCTCATGCAGATAGAGTTCCGCTGCTGTGGCAACAACAACTACAAAGATTGGTTCGAGATCCAGTGGGTGAGCAACCGTTACCTGGACTTCAGCTCCAAGGAAGTCAAAGAGTGAGTGTCCTTTTGCAGCATAATGATTGGGTGATGCGTAAACATTCATTCCTTTCAGTTCTTTTCAATCAATTTTGTTCAGATATAGTTTAGACGATTAGATAATGAGCTGAGAAGTTTCATTTAACAGTCAAAAACAGTGAGTTTCTTTTGATGGTTTTTAGAATGCCTGTTTTTAGCTAGTTTAAAGTGAGGCTAGGTACTGGGTGATTTGCAGGGGTCAATGTGCAGTGTAAGTGGTATCAGGTATGTTAACCCGTTTAGATTTAGTCACTAATCTTCTTGGATCACATTTTCTTCCCCTCAGAGCTTACTGTCCCTTTCAATCAGTTCAATACCTGGTAGATTGGCTTGGAATAGACATTGAAATTACAAGCCTTAATATCAGAGTGTGTGATATTTTCATCACAGAGGTTTTTGATGTTTAACACTTAACCTATAAAGTCTATTAAAAGTGTCCCAAAGAGATTAAAATTATTCTATAAATTCATTAAAAAAAAATCGATTTTATTGATAACAATAATAAGGAAGTTATAATGTATAATTTTGTGGAAGTTGCTTATTTTGTCAGCATTCACAGCTTTCAATCAGAAAAAAGAATGTCAGCATTTTTCAAAAAAAATTCTGACTAAGACACGAACGTGTAATGAATTTTATGTTGAAATTGTAAATGAAGACAAGGGAAAGTTTCACAATGGTATTGTTTTTGCCATTTTTTTATTTACTGTACATTTGAGTCCTACTTTTGTCTTAAATGTAATATAAAACCGATATACAGTATATTTGCAAAAAAAAACTTTTTTTGTGTGTGTGTCTTCAGTCGAATCAGCAGCAATGTGGATGGAAAATACCTAATGGATGGCGTTCCCTTCAGCTGTTGTAACCCTAGCTCGCCACGGCCCTGTATCCAGCAGCAAGTAACCAACAACTCGGCTCACTACAGCTATGACCACTACACCGAAGAACTAAACATCTGGAAACGTGGCTGCCGAGACGCTCTTGTATCATACTATGGTGGAATGATGAACTCTATTGGGATACTTGTGTTGGCGGTCACCCTCTTGCAAGTAAGATGTTTAGCTTTGAAATATCTTAATGTGCTGATCCAGGATCAGACCTTAATGACTTGCATTACGTACCTCTAATCTTAATGGATTGTGCTGTAAAGGTCAGACTGAACTATGATCAGTACTTAAGGAACGCTTTGTCCAGTCTTGATACTTAATCTTAAACAGCCATCATAAGGTGTTTTTGTTGTCTGCCCCCTAATAAGGTAAATTATAACTGCACATTGTTTTGGCTACAGATTTGAGGACCCTGTCCTCCTTATCAGACAATCCCCAAAGGTGCAAAAGTAAAGGTTAGTTAGAGGAGTAATTGCTTATCTTTATGACGTCATACCATTTTTAATGACAGAAGCCTCATTCCCTCAATCAATCATCTAATATGGCACCATCAGGGAAAACATCTAACTGACTTGGGTATTAACAAATGTGATAATTCTTCTGATTACCTTGTAGTAGTTCTGAAATATCTATATGTCTCAGGAATTCGCATTCGTTACCTTAAGGAGCTATTTTTACCTGATCTAACTTTTAAAAAGATTGGTAAATAATATTAATAATAATTTATTTGACTTAATATTTACCTAAAAAAAAAAAAAAAATAGACTATATTTAAAAAAGTTCATTTGGATGATACATAAAGTAAATATTAGTTTACCCAATAAAAACAAATTTTTTATTCAATTTATTTTCAGTATTAATGGACACGTATGGAAATAAACATTGATTTAAACAAAATCTGTCAAGCTTACAACAGTCTGTAGCAACAACAAGACCTTAAACTAGGGTTGGTGGAGATTAGGAGTGTGAGATGGTGTGGTGACTGAAGATTCACAGGGATCAAATGTTCTAATCTGCAGGGCGGCGTTAAATCTTGCTTTCTTGGAAAAGGTGATTTCAAATCACCAATTAAAGATATAGAACATTCCATCCATTGATTTTACACACACACACACACACACACACACACACACACACACACACGTGTGTGTGTGTGTGTGCGTGTGTGTGTGTGAGGAAGGGGTTGCTTATTTTTATCAAGTATTTATACATCACGGTAATATTTGTTGTTCTGCATTTAATTGTTCTGCTGATTTGAATAAAAAAGTTTTGTTTTTATTACTGACAAAAATATATATTATAATAAAAATTATTTTATTGCTGTCACAGTAAAATTACAGTTGAGAATTACAGATTGAGAATCATAGAAATCTGTGAAATGTAGCCTGGACATATGTTAAATATGAATGAACATATCACTTTGTACAGCTATCTAACTCATATCTTTTATGCTTGTCTTCAGACTGCTGTAATGATTGGACTTCAGTACATAAACACCTCTCTGTCCACGCTGGTCAACCCAGAAGACCCTGAGAGTGAGAGCGAGGGCTGGATCCTGGAGAAAACTGTCAAAGAGACCTTCACTGATATCATGGCTAAGATGAAGGCCATGGGCAAAGGCAATCAAGTGGACGAGGGGGCAAATGAAGAGGCTGTTGCCACTGCGAGCTGAGCTAACCCCGCCCACCAAACTTTGGCCACACCTACCTGAGGTAGAGAGCTGTGGGACACAGCCTAAAACTGTAACTATATCATCCACACTACACAAAGTGTAGACAAAGCCAATTAATGAAGAACTGGTGAAGAAAAAATCGGAATACAAACCTTTGTCAGTTATTTACATTCCTTTAAATAATTTGGTATACTAGAAACCAATATTATGGTGAAAACACGTATTAGTATACAAATGATTGGTTTGTAAATAGGGGCTTTAAATATAATATAATATAATCAAGTTGTAATTTTACCAGCTTCGCTTTCCCCTTTGACTTTGTACTTTGCTACAAAAAATGTAAACGTTTTTATAGTCATTTTTATAGTCATATCTTGTTTTATTTATGAGTTGATATTCAACCTAAGAATGGCTAGTCACGGATTTGGCATAGTGTGAACGGTAAAAATATGGAAACTAGCCTCGGGACAGTCAGTACTTTTATTTATTAGGAATAAACAACACAATTTGTCATGGGACAGGTATGGCAAATGCAAAGAAAACACATTTTTAGACAGGTGTCTTTTCACCCTTGTGGACTTAGGTACAGTATGAAATGTGTATGAAAGGTGGGAATCCACATACTTGACAGATGGATGGAGAGACAAGAAGTTAGTTGTTTTGTTTTATTTTAAAGTAATGCTTTATAATAAAAAAGTACCAGGGTTGTGATTTGAGAAAGGGGTATACTTTTTTATTTATTTTTGTGACCTGCCTGATGATGCTTTGTGCACATGTTCAGCATCAGATAATATACTTGATTTCAACAGCACTGAAAGGAGAGGCTGATTTTGCAGGTTTAGGAGACCCCAATGTGTGCTATGGTACAGAGGGATAACCAGGTCCAGGGTTAGGGGATGCTTGAGAAGTCCCCTGGAGTTGAGGAGACAGCTTAAGACTGGCAGCTAAACCCTGACCTGTGACTTCTGCATTCCCACTGCTGGGAGCTCCTGTGCTTTTACATCCGCACAATTACTCCACCAAACGTCCCAGGCCAGAGACTGAAACTCTATGCTCAAACCTGTAATTTTTTGTAATTATTTTATTTTAATTCAAATTATGTGTCTATGTAAATAGTGTAGAATTATTACAAATATATTTTTCCTTTTGTAAAAATACAATTTAATTATGAGAAAAAGTTGACTACTCTAGGACAGTGTTTGGTGCGTAGTGATTATTATTGTGAATAAAACTTGTTTAATTGTAAAAAAAAAAACACAAAAAAAAACATGCAGATTTCTGTTGTCCAGTCATTTGCTGAGATCAAAGTGCATTCTGGGAGCTCTGTGGGAGGTTTGCCTCATCAAATAAGATCAGCAGAAAATTATGTGATTATTGCGTTCACATGGTGTTTGTTGTGCATGGCACATGGCAGTGAATCTGAATAGTAGGTCTGGTGAATTTCAACATATGGTCTGTATTTAAAAAGTGTTGTACATTAAATACCTCACACTTAGCCTGGTTAAAACCAGACCATTCTCAGTTGGTTGTAACTGAGTTATGGTCTGGCAAAGCGTCATAGACAAATCATTTCCAGAGGGGCGTCACCAACGGACGTCGCGGATAGACCTAAAACCAATCAGAGCGATGAAGGAGATGACGTATGCAGAGTGGCGGAGAAACATCTCCGAGTGTTGTTCTTTGCTCGGTTTTTAACAAAAGGGAAACGTTCAAATCGCGTAAAACAGACGCGATAGCTGATTCGAACGAGTGATGTTCGACGGCGGCATCCATCTTTGTAATGTAGGCTAAAATCTGCTTCAAAATCCCAGCGCTGTCGTCATCGTGTAAAGCCCGCCCCAACTTTTCTGATTGGTGCCTCGATTTCGGCGGATTGGAAATGGGCTTGAATGAGCTCTTTGCCAGACTAACTTTCAGAGCAAATCTAAATTTGCCGGAATTTGTCTGGTTTTCCCAGGCTACCTCACACTTATCAATAACATGATATGTTAACAAAAACATAGAAAAGCCACATAACTGCTAAATTAATTTGAAAGTCATCAAGATAAGTCATCCACACTAACAATTCTGTTTTGCTTTTAGGAAAGAAGCAGAATATTAGCATGGAGAATACTATGGGAAATGATAAGGCCATAAAGAGGGCGACTTTCTTTGGGTATTTTGGTTTTCCGACAAGCACATAAACACAGATGATCTGATAAAGACAGTAAGCTGCTTTTGAGTGTGCTCAGCTTAACTTCTTGGCAGGTAACCTGGACTTCTGCTGCATATCCGGTGAAGAGTATGAAACATTGAAGGACACAGAATGTCCTTGAGCAGGTACAGAATGTGTCAAACAAAGCTGTGCGCTTCTCTTTTCACCCTTATTTCCCCTTTTGGTCACAGGATATTTGGGAGGGGTGGGAAATCATGCAAGTGCTGCTTATCCCCGATTAGCGTTATGTTAAGAGAAAGTGATCTTAGAGCTGTAATTGGGACATGTCAAACTGGGGTCACGTGAGATTATCATGTGAGATTATGATCAGTTTTGAAATAATTTTAAAACGACAAATTTCAGGTGAGGTAGAGTACTATTTTGAAAGTTTGTTGAGAATTAAATCTAACTTCAAATGTGTTCAGGTGACATTTGGATTCTGCTCAACAGAAAGATCAGACCACATTCAACAATTTACAGGAGTCATTATACAGTCACAACAAATAAAGTGGAACTGAGAGACATATGCACAATATATGCAGATACAAGAGAGAAAAACATTCTAGCTGTATGTGGATTAACTGGTAAAACAAAGTGCGAGTCTGTACGTCAGATGATAACAGATCCTCAGTACAATATTGGGAAGTAACTTGAAGTTGTTGAGTTGGGAGAAGCAATATTTTTTCCCCCTTAAATTATGTAGAGCAAATAATTATGATGTTAATGATTATTTGTTCATTCTTATAAATTCCATCCTATATGTTCCTTTATCAGGTTAATGGAAATCGCACTTTGACTCATTTAATCAGAGATGATTCTTAAAGGTGGAGTAATTTTTTGTATAATGAAATGTTTTCTTCTACCAGCTTAAACCTCAAAAAGGCCAGAACATAAACATGTATTTATTCATCTACAACTCACTAATGGCTCATTTGGCGTTATTTGTTTATTTATGCAATTTCATAGAATTACCCTAGTGGCCCAGAAATCTCACACTTCACCTTTAAAGAGTATAAACTCAAAGGATTTGTGCATTGACCTGTGTTTAAATCCTCTTTCTCTAGCTTGAACAGTAGAGGTCAGAGACAGAACTAGGCCAACCAGCATAAACACATCATTAAACCTAAACTATCAATTTAAGTCTCAAACACTGCCATCTGTTGGTTTGCTTTAATGTATTGCAGTGGTTTTCAATAAACACTATTATTGTCAAGATGATGACGCAGTTCTCTCTAATATATTTCATTTGTTTCTCAGACTAAATTAAGTCTACAAACACTGCAAAACCTGCTTCACTGTGTTGTGATGGATAGTATGTTCTTACTTCTTTCTCAGGTTTGTTTTCTTCTTTACCTCCTTTCTCTGTTCCTCTCAGCTGGAAAATTGCCTCATGATCTCTCGATCCATCTTTTGCCAGCATCTTCAGGCAAAGTTGAGCTCCTCCTACATAGACCTACTATCATACACACTCTCTCACACTCATTATAATGCCTATGTTGTTCACCCACTTCAACTCATTCAATTAAATGAAGTAAAAATGAAAAGACTATGATCATTATTTACTCATCACAAATGAAGACATTTTTTTTGTGTGTGAAACTGTCATGACATATTTGACCCTTACGGTGAGGATTTTGATTCATCCCAGTAACTAGAGTTTTTTTTATCCGTTCATTAAAAAAGATTCGTTCAGTGACCATTTCTTCATATTGCATACATATTGTGCCAGTAGGTGGCGAAAAAACCGAGCGTCTTTTATTTAATTTTTTAGGCCTATTTTTTCTTTTTCTTTTATGTGTTATGAACAATGCATTGAATCATCATTGTATTGAATAATATTATGTTTCCTTAAAATCTGCGTATTTACAATTCTACTAAGCGTTTCTGAGCCTTATGAAACAATATGATAGGACAATTATGCAATTATGTTTTTTTTTGTCCCGTTATGGATCTTGACAGGCTCCGTAAACTACAAGAACCTGCAATTCTTTAAAAAAAATTCTACTTTTCTATTTCATAGGGTAAAAACGGCATATGGACTCGGAACAACACGAAAGTGAGTGGCTACTTGATGACAGAATTAGGCCTATGTCATTTTGAGCAAACTATTCTTGTAAAACATCTTTCCTGAGTGTTCCTTACTCTCTCTCTCTCTCACGCTCGCATGTTCAAAATCACTCCTTCTGACAGTTAATACACATTTCGCTTTGTGTCTTTAGCCCTCCACAGCCTCATCAGTATAATGTGTCTGAGAGACGGCTGATGGCGTTCCACACATTCAGCAAAATGGGATCGTGATCTCTGTCTGTTTGAATGATGCATTGATCTGTGAGGAGTGTAAGTGTGTGTACATCTACTTGTAACTTTTCAGACAGGGAGTAGGCCTGCATGACAGATTCTAATCCATTTTCCAAGCCGTTTTTCCTATGTAGGGAAATATAATAATAAATGAATTATTTATCTAAATTGTTTAGAGTGCATTTATGTCAATAAGTTAATAATGACACTGACACAAAGCATTCTTCATTTCGATTCACACATTTAAAATAAGACAACACAAGCTTTAAAATACACATCTTTATTTAGGCCAAGCTCCTAAATATTTGACCTGGCCTTCACAAATAGGGGAGTCGGCTATAGTTGTCTCAGGTAAGTTGTAACAAGGGTTATGTATTAAGGTTTTGATTCAGATGTCTATTAAACAATCTGTGTGCTTTCTCTGGCAGTGATTTTGTATGTTAGTTTCAAACACTTAAATTTGAATAATTTGGTCCAATATCATATTTTATACTTGAGCAATCAAGCAAACACAATAAAATCACACATGGATATGATCAGGCAACAGTCAACAATAGTCAAGCGGTATTTCTCATAAATGTCAGGATGAAGTAAGTTGTCACATTTGTGTTTTATGTTGCAATTGTAAATTAATTACAATATGGTTTGGCCTTTTAAAAGTATGTTCTTATGCAGAAGTTGGCTACCCTCAGACAATTTTACTGTAGTAAGAAGTGTGACCCCATAGGCCTACAATATTCTTGAAAATTCCAATGTGATGTTATAGCCTATATATGAATTAATAACTATGTTGCAGATGCTTCTGAGCAATGATTCCTTCTTTCAAATACCCTGAATTCTGACTGGTCATGTGATCTCAAGATGTTTGTCCCCATGAGGTGACCCGCTTGATGTAAAATATTTTTATAATACTAGAGTAGGCTATTCATCTCATGTGAGTGTAAATGATTTTCAAAGAACTTTTTTAAAGCAGTGCACCTTTAAATTATGAGGAAAGCATGAGACATTAACATAATCTACCTCATGGGGGCAGCATTTACTGGCGTCTCACATTTATTGACAGAGAATCTATTCTG